TTTTTAGTTTGATACCAGCCTGTTTATTGATTCTTGATTTTACTTCTTGTGCTTTAGGAGTGTTATTGAGGAAGTCGGTTCCTAAGCTGACATGATGGAGAGTTGGGCCTACTTTTTCTTCTAATAGCTGCAGGGTCTCTGGTGTAATATCTAGGTCCTTGATCCACTTCGAGTTTATTTTTTGTGCAGGGTGAGAGATAGGGGTTCAATTTCATTCTACTACATATGGATTTCCAGTTTTCCCAGCACCATTTGTTGAAGAGGTTATCTTTTTAAGAGGGACTTTTGGGGAAGTAAGGAGGAAGAGGAATTTACTTAGTGAAGGAGAGAGAGGAAAATCATTCCTGGCTAAGTCAGGTGCAAAGGCTGTCATATTCCAGGGACTGAGAAGGTAACTAAGCCCACAGAGAGAGGTAGGGGTAGTAGAAGAGGAACTCTAGAGGGTAGCAAGATCCAGTTACCCACATTAAGGCTCTTAAACCTCTCACGAGTTTTAAAAAAACAATAGCATATTATTTGTGTTCAGAAGCTGGCAGAGTCCGGGGACAAAGGTTACAAAGAAGGTTCTCCCCTTGTCACAGACTGCCATTGGTCCACGGCTCCACGGCTAGTAAGGGACTGCCATAGGATGGGAATGCAGGTCATTCCAATGAGCTTTCTCCACCCTGAACCACTCTATTGTGGGTACCAGAGGGGTACAGCACACAGGAAGGCCAGGGGCCTCTCTAGGAAGATGCCAAGGAGTCCCTGTGAGCCTGGCCTCCCACCTGGGTCAGAAGCTCAGCTTCCTGAAGTCCTGGAGAATGTGGGGCACTAAGAAGAAATAGATGAACCAACCCAAGCAACTGCTGAGGCTCCACAGCACCAGGCTAAGGGTGTGCAGGACACTGAGTGTGGAGGGGGCGGCACCCATCTCAGTCCCAGGGCTCCAGCAGGCTGTGAGGCACCAGGCAGAGCGCGAAGATGAGCAAGAGCCCCGAGATCATAGTCTTGGCCATGCACCGAGGCAGGCTGGCAGGGGCAGGGCCCAGCATGTGGGTACCGCGAGTGCCTATGCCAGGCTCCTGTCTGCTGAAAGTCCCAGCAGAAAGGCTGTGGTATAGAAGGCCAACGCGGCGCAGGTCAGGCCTGCTCCAGGCAGCCAACAAGGCAGCCAGGCCCCGGGCGCAGCTCGTGCAGCAGCCCAGTGACGGCACTGTGCAGACCAAACTGGGCCCGCACACTGAGCCGCACTGCCACAAGATGACCAGTGCCATCAAGGCCACAGCCACACAGGTGGACACAGAGTAGGCGGCCTCGGGGAAGGGCCAGTAGGCCAGGCCCTGGTAGTAGGTGGCCGTAGCGGCAGTGTGAGCTTGAAGCGCACGTTGGCCAGGGCCAGGTGAAGTAGGCAGAGACACAGGGCCAGGACAGGCACCCACCACTGCAGACAAACACCGCCAGCGTGGCCACATTGGGAGGCAGCCCCAGACTCAGGGCCAAGGCATAGGCCACAGACATCACGAAGAAGCTAGCTGGGTGGACCCAGGGGCTGCAACTGCCAACACCCAGGTTCATCTTCGACCTTGAACTGGGGAGAGGAAGAGAGGTCCCTGTAGAGACCAGGTGACAAAAATAAGTCCCCAGCCCACCGCGTCCCACGCTAATCCCTCTTCTCCAGTCCTTGCTAGAAGGGAACAGTAGAGGCAAAGGGTTTCATGAGAGGAGCTGAGGACTGAGCAACTGCTGTGGACAGAGGGGAGGGGATGGACGCCAGAGTTCTCAGTGAGGAGCTGGAGGAAATGAGGAAAGAGAGGAGTCCCAAGAGATCTTGGAAATTTCCCACCTTGGTGACTGGGACAGGGGAGGTGCCCTTCACAGATAATCAGAATCCAGGGGTACACCTATGTGAAGTGAGTCCAAGCAGGGCTGGGGCAATAGGGAGTCCCAGAGAAATGAGGCTGGAATATTGAGTCCTTCCCAGGGGTGGGGGGACACTCCTCCATAAAGAAGTTTCCTATGACCATAAAGAAGTTCTGGGTCAGACTGAGAACTCGGGGCAGCAAAGCAAAAAAAGCACAGGCCCAGGAACCTTGCACTTCTAGATACACACATTTATTTGCCATGTGACCTTGGGCCAATTACTCAGCCTCACTGAGCCTGTCTCCCCTGCTGTAAAATGGAGATTAAAATACCTACCTCATAAGGTTGTTGGGAGGATTATGAGAAAGCATAAGTAAAACTCTGGGCCCTGTGGCTGACACTGGGGAGATACACCATAACCGCTCGCTCCCTTCCCTCTAGGCAGCGCGCAGATAAATGTGCATACCCACACAGGCACACATGCAGCCAGCAGAACAACACAAAAACATCTGGTCATGTTCCTGCCCCCTCCAAGGAGGATGAGCGCATACAATGTCCGTTTTTATTGTCCATACATTACCAAAACTACTAATTTTGACACTTAGACAACCCTATCATGTCCTCAAACTCAATCCCTCCAGTGCTAACATCTGGATTTCCACCTTTGAGTCTCTCAGGCTCCAGTCCTTTTCCAGGACCCCGAATTAGTGTATTCCACCCCCACCCCACTCCCAGTTCTGTCCACCTCAGTTCTAGTTCTCAACTCCTCCCTGTCATCCCTTCAGATTATCCCTCTTTCCTCTGGTTGTGCTGGTTGCTGGAGCTTTCTCTGGGGTCCTGATAAGGAGTTGAGACAGGGAAGAATCCCCTCCTACCCACATGTCCCAGAACTTTCTTGTTAATCTCTGGATGAGACATGAAGAATGGGCCCCTACAGGGAGAAGCTGGGGCCCACCTATGGCAGCTGGGAGCTGGGTTTGTGGGGTACAGCAATGGCACATAGAGGAAGATAGCAGGAGGCCAGGCAAGGGAATGTAAAGGTGCTGAGCTAACTAACCTAGACTTAGGATGCAGTATGGGGCACACATTTCCTGGGGCCTGGCTTCTCCTTGGGCTATTGAGGAGGCCCTCAAGATCCCTGCTGCAGTCAATACTAACTGCTCCTCCACACAAGGTGTCCATCCCATTTTTTTCAGCACCATGTCTGACCTGCAGCTGCTGGGCCTGTCCTATAGCCAACTTTGAGAGCCAGTGGCTACTCATCAACCTACAGGCCAAGCACTGGTAAATGGGAGGCCTCAGTCCAGTGCCAGCTGCGAGAGGTTCTTCTACTCACAGTCCTGACTGGAGACAGGTGGGCTACAGCAGCCAGGGCTTTCCAGGCTCTACTTCTGTGGGTTTCAAAATTTTCATGCAGAGGGGTAATTCTGGAAGGCAGGGCAGATTTGATCACAGTGGACAGGTCATCCCAGGTGTCATACCAGCCTATTTTCAGTTCTGGCAGTTGGTGCAAAACAAAGGGTAGGATTTGGAATCAGTCAGGCCTTAGTTCTAGTCTCAGGTCTGACATATAAATACCTAAAACTTTCTGATCCATAGTCTCATCAGAACAAATTGATATGTAATAACAGCATTTACTGGCCTGTTATATGCCAAATTTTGAAATCATTAAAGTTTTTTAATGTTTATTTAAACCTACATCTACAGGAGGGGAGGAGGTGTGGGAATTGTGGCAAAAGTGTTGGCAAAGATCTGAAAAAAACAATACCTTTATTTTATTTATTGATTTTTAATATTTATTTTTTAGTTGTAGTTGGACACAATACCTTTATTTGTTTTTATGTGGTGCTGAGGATCGAACCCAGGGCCTTGCGCTTGCTAGGCGAGCACGCCACCACTGAGCCACAACACCAGCCCTATTTTATTTATTTTTATGTGATGCTGAGGATGGAACCCAGGGCCTTGCATGTGCTAGGCAAGCGCTGTACCGCTAAGGCACAACCCCAACCTTAATTAGTTATTTTTCGTATTTTATAAACAAACTAGCAAGTGGCAAATACTGTCATTCCCCGCCCTTTCCTCATTGACCAAATGGGTAAAAATGGGTGTTAAGTCCACCATAGGAATTCCATCTTTCTTGACAGAGATTGGTTTAGGAATGGAAATGTGGCATAATTCTGGCCGGTGAGATGTGAGGGAAAATCTAGGGACTTCTAGAAGATCCTTTCTCTTTCTTTTCACTTTTAGAAATGTGCAACTGTGCAGTCTGTAGCTGCTGCAGCTATTCTGCAACTCTGAAGGCAGCAGCCAATAAACTGAAAGCAGCATAACAGAAAGTTGAAAGAACGCTGGTCCTTTGTGTCCTCATTAAGCACAAAATTAACCAACACTGAAAATGAAGTCAAGTCATCTCTGGACTGCTTAAGTGAGAGAAAATTTCCTTATTGTTTTGGCGCTGCCGCACGTATTTATGTACTGTTATCCACTTATCTATTTATCTGTGCTATAGGTAGATTACATCATTGTGCTTTTGGACACAAGATCTCCGACCAAGATTTTCCACTTGCCTGAGGTTCATGCTAGTCAGTGACAGAGCAGGAATTGCTTTTCTAACATGAACCTGAAGTGGTGTAACATACATAGACTTCTGATTGCTCCTACCTCCAAAGCAATTTATAAGCTGATATAGAATATTGGTATAAATAAACTTTTTCCTATTTTCCCTCATGGGAGGCACAGTACTTTCCAAAAGGTGAAGTGGCTGGTGACATGACATGTTGTCCACCTTCCCTTCTGATCCCCGGGATTCCTCCCAGGCTTTCGGCCCTGCTGTACCATTCAGCATTCCAGGGAGTTGGCTGTCCCAGATCTACATAGGAGTTAAGGAGCCCTGGACTGGGCCATACGTCACCATCAAAGACCAGTGATTTCAGGTCCTATAAAATGACTCATGCCCATTTTTGTAAGCTCTGCAAATCTAAAGTGTAAGAGAGAAAAAAAGAATGGGAAGGAATCTTTCATGTGGCTTAGAAGGGCATAGGCAGAAACAGATACTTAAACTCTGTAACATTCAACCTATAAATTTTAAAATGTGTATTTTAATATCTCAAAAATTGTATGCCTTTTGAACCAGCACCTTCACTTCTAGGGAAAGGAAATAAGTATGCAAAGATGATTTATTGTGAGGTTTACAATCACAAAAAATTGGGAACGTTCCTCACGGAAGGTAGACTAAATCCTTAAAATGGAATACTATGCAGCCATCAAGACTAATGAGGTAAAAGAGACACGGAATGGTGTTACAGAATACCAGGTTTAAAAAGTAGGTAATAAAATAGGATATATGATCTCATTTTCATTTAAAAATATATAAATCTATACAAAGGCATAGAAAAAGACAAGAGATATAGTACCAAGGCATTAAAAGTGGTAATTTTGGAATATTAGAATTTTGGTGTTTTAAATTTCTTTTTTGCTTATTTTCTATTTTCACATGACATGAAGAATGTCAGTGTGTGCAACATCTATCCCTCAAAAGAGAACAGTATAGTTACAGAGAGTAATCAGGGCTAGGTAGACAAGATGTCTCTTTCAACACTGGAAGACATGGAACGTACTGGTAATGAGGTGACAGACTATTCCAGCATGTTCCTGCTGGGACAGCTGCATGGTATGAAGGGACTCTCTACGTCCAGGGTTCCTTGAATGCACTTGGAGTCTTCTTCCTAGAGTGTGTGACCATCTTCTTAGTTTGGGCTAAGAACTGGCAGACGTCCAGCAGCAGCAGGAGCCCCAAGCAGACAATGGCTGGGATGGAGGTGCTCAGTGACTCTTTCAGAGATACCAAAGTGAAGATAGCCACTGGAATGGAAAACGAAATCCCTGAGGCTCCCTGGAAGCACCCAGAAGATCCAGAGAGCTCAGGGGTTCCAGCCTAGGCTGACCCACTCCAGCCAAGCCCTCCGATTAAACATCCTCCACATGAATCCTTCTCCTCATCTTTGGCTTCCTGGAGAAAGCAGGACCAAGAGTTAGAAGCCTCTTGGACTAATAAAGGCTCACTCAGAGGTTAAGAAAGAAACGGCAACATTCTAGTCGAAGGGGGCAGGGACTGTGAGGTAGGTAGACAGGGATTGGGGAACAAATTTTCCCCAATCCTTCTTCTTAATCCTACATCTACAGGAGGGGAGGAGTTGTGGGAATTGTGGCAAAAGTGCTGGCAAAGATCTGAAAATGAGGAAAGGTCTAGAAATGGAAAGAATGCTTAGGAGATAGGGTGGTAACAGTACCAATAATGGTGACACAGGCCAAGGGGATAAAGAAGAGCCTGAAGATTTCTAGTCTTTGAGGCAGAGCTGTTTCTGTCATCAGCAGTTCCTGTGAACACAGCTTCTACAAGAGGCACCTCACAGAAACCATCTGCCTTTCTGTTCAGGGGGCCTTAGCTTCCCAGCTCTCTACTCCCATCTGCTATACACATAAGCCAAGTGGCAGCTGCTGTTCCTCCCCTCATTCCAGGAGTGGGTGTGTGGAAGGAGTAGGGGCTCTGAGGTTATAATACATCCTCATAATGGAATACTATGCAGCCATGAGGTAAAAAGTATACTTGACATGGGTTAGTATTATGGTATATCAAGTTTCAAAAGCACCTGTCCTCTTCTGAAGACTATGGAAACTGCAGCAGAGCAGAAAGTGTTCTTGGTCCCAGAGAGAAAAGGTGGCAACAGTAGTGGGGGAATGAACAGGTCTTCTATCATTCCTCCCAGAAGATCCCATTTCCCCAGGCCCCCTTACCCATCATGAGGAGGGTCAAGAGGAAGTTACTGATATCTTGTAGCATCGGTGGGCCCACGACCAACAGCAACCCAGCCAGCAGCTCCAGCCAGCCCACAGCTGTTTGGTAGTTCACAGGATCTGGCTGGTAGCCGAACAACTTCAACGGGAACACCTCAGCAAACTGCACGAACAGGGCTTTCTACAAATGGCAGGGAATGTCTATCAGCCATGCTCACCTAGGAAATACTGTCCAGATGCCCCACAGGGGCATTCTATACCTTTGTTCGCAACCCCCTTAATAAAACTGCTATTTACCCTAGGTCAGAGCCTGAGGTCAGCCTGGAAAAGCCACCTTGTGGTGCTGAGCTTTGAAATCAGGATACATACATGCTCTATGCCCCAAGTGAGAAGAAGTTGATTTTCTCATCAGACCTCTCAACAGATTACACCTGGCCCCAGGGCTTGGGCCTTCCCCTCTAGGAATAAGGCCTTGAGGATTCCAAGATCCTTTTTGTTTTGTTACTGTTTTGTACTGGGGATTAAACCAATAGGCACTTTACTACTGAGCTATATCCCCAGCCCTTTCTATTTTGAGACAGGATCTCAGTGGCTTAGGGACTTGCTAAATTGCTGAGGCTGGTATCAAACTTGAAATCCTATGTCTCAGCCTCTCAAGCCACTGGGATTACAGGCAAGCCCACCACGCTAGGCCTGGTTCCTCTTCAGACTGCTTTTCAGGGAATGTTTGCAGGTGATGAGGTGGTGGAAGCACTCATTAAACAGACCCCATCTTCAATATCCTCAGTTGGGTTCTGGATTCCAATGTGGCAGACTCAAGGAAGAAAAGGAATGGCTCAATAAGACCCTCTCGCTGAATTGGGCCGTTCTCTAGGCCAAATGACAGCTCACCCACAGTTGCCTTTTCCTGCTCTCCCACTTCTCCTCTACCTCTCCTACTCGGCCCTGAAAGCTCTGGTGAGATTCTTCCCCCAAATAATCCACCATCCTAAATCATAAAGGGAGTACCCAGGCTTGGGAGAGAGGAGCAACTGGGGCCTCCCTCAAAGCCTGGCCTCTTGGAGGGGCTGGGGGCACTGGTAAGCTGGAGATGAAAGCTTTTCTACACTCTGGAACTAGCCAGAGAGCTGGCAGGGGCTTTCTAGGCTTGCTGGGAAAAGAATGGATTGAATTATGAAAGTCTGGTTTGAGTCCTGCTTCCTGCCTTCAGGGCAGGTTTCCTACCTGCAAAGTGGGGATTACTACAGCCTGCTTCGCGACTCACCCCAAAAGTAGAGGGGAAGAAGGTGGAAGGACACTCATCCTCCGCCAAAAGGGTGCCCAAGCACTCCTCTCGGGCTCTTAATTCGCTCCGCGAAGCCACTGCTCAGCCGGAAAGGGTGGTCCCACCCGCTCCCGCCCAAGGAGGAGCCAGAAAACTCGAGGAACTCCGGGGAAGTCCCCGGCGCGGGTCCCCAGCTCCCGCGCGGCCAGGCCGAGCACTCGCCACGCTCCGGGCCCCCGCCCACCCACTCGCTCACCATCTGCTGCGACACGGGAGCCGAGATCTGCGAGAGCTTGGCCGCCCCCGTGAGCGCAAAGAAACCGCCCAGCAGGACGCGCAGGGCGGCGAGCACGAGCGCCATGGCCGCGCCGCTCGGGACCCAGGGGCCGCCTCGCGGGCTCGCTTCCTCCCGCCTCCGCCTCCGCCGCGGCCGGAAGGCCGCGCCCCAACTCTGGGACGTGCCCGCCAGGCCCGCGGGCTCCCGAGCGAACTGCCACCGCCCGAATCCAGGGGCGGCCCCGCCTCCCGGCCAGCACAAAGTGGAGGCAAACGTGGGCATCTGGCCGTGGCCGCGCAGGAGCCGCGTTCTGCCCCAGAGCCCGGGCTTCGGCCCTGCGACTGCCACACTAGCAGAAGGAGCTGGGCTGTCGCCCGACCCCAAACGGCCTCAGTGTCTGCACCCACAGGGCAATAAGGCCTTGGTTCTCAGGAGTGGCTAACAGGCCTGCAGAAAATCATTTGTAAATGAGTAATCTGAACAACCTAATACATAGATAACCAATAATTTAACTAGTCGTGCAGCGCGGTGGCGCAAGCCTGTAATCCCTTAGGAGGATCTGAGTTCAAAGCCAGCCTCAGCAACTCAGTGAGGTCCCAAGCAACTCAGTGACACCCTGTCTCTAAATAAAATAGAAACAGGGCTGGGGATGTGGCTCAGTGGTGGAGTACCCCTCCCCCCCTCAAAAAAAAAAAAAAAAAGGTGTTCCTGTATATCTTGCTTGAAGTATCTGCCCTCTGACGTCTCAGCTGAATTTAAAATGTGAAAGGTGTTTGAAAATTCAGATACTTGTCAGGGGAAGAGAGGCTTTCATTGAACAAAGCGCTGTAGGCCATTCCTGGTCCATCTGCTCTTACCAGGATGTCTGTTTAGAGCTGGCTGGGCAAAGTGTGGGCCAAATTCTGCTAGCTGTTTGGTTTTTCTGCTCTCCTCCATACAAGATGATAATGTTTGTTTACCCTTTTTAATGATTAAAAAGTGCAAGAAGTTTTCGTGACACATAAAAATTATACGAAATTGACATCTCGGTGTTCATAAAGTTTTACTGAAATACTCATTTGTCTATGGCTGCTTTTACACTGCAACTGTGTAGGAGTGGCCACACTATGGGTGCAAAACCTAATATTTACTATATGGCCCTTTGTGAAAAAAGTTTGCCAAGCCCTGGTCTAGCGGGCCAGAGAAAGCCCCAAACAGTCTCAAACTCCCCTCTGTCCTATTCCCTGTTAACCATTACTTATGATCTTTGTTTTCCACCTACCTATAATCTGCTGGGGGCAGCTGGCTGCCTGAAGACAGAAATCTCTCATGTCCAACTTCAACATCCAGATTGTGCTATCATATTAGAAACTGGGCCTTTTAGCAGGGGGAGGTAGTGGACTCCTTGTAATCCCAGCAGCTCAGGAGGCTGAGGCTGGAGGGTAACAGATTCAAGGCCAGCCTCAGCAATTTATTGAGACCCTATCTCATAAAAACAAAAAATAACATGAACTGGGAATGAGGCTTAGTTGCTGAGCACCTCAGTTCAGTCCCCCATACAAAAAAAAAAAAAAAGGTCTTTAATTAGATGCAATCTTGGTCACTAACCCAAGTTTGTCAACCAAATTCTCTATCTTGGATTATTAAAAAACTAAACATAATTATGCACAAATGCGTAATTATTAAATCCTTCCACAAAAATGAGAAAATTATTAAAACAAACACTGAAAACACAAATCCACATTAGGAAATTATATTTTAGGATAGTTACACAAAATTTAACACAAAATTAGACTTCTTTATATTTTTAGTGGTAGATGGTCACAATACCTTTATTTATTTGTTTGTTTATTTAATGTGCTGAGGATTGAACCCAGTGCTTCATACATGCCAGGCAAGTGCTCTACCACTGAGCCACAACCCCAGCTCAAAAATTAGACTTTGATGATAAACAACATGCACACTGCTTTTCTTTCTCCTTTACTAATTTTTCTATCCTTGGAATTAATGATGTGACTGCAAGTCTCAGGGCAGAGCCAGAAACCAACAGATTTCTTTGTCTTGACACAGTCAAAGCTGAAAAGGCAGCATCACATAAATAAACAGTTGAAAAAGGTAATAAAAATTTCATTGCCTTTTCATGCAGTTCTGGGTAACTTGTCTTTGCATTTATCCAAAACTGCGTTACAGACACTGATTTAAATAGTGACTGTAATCCTAAATCTGAAAATAACTGTTTTAATTTTTCTTTTTCAAAATTAGTAAGATTATTATTTTGGTGATTCGTAAATGGGTTAATAATCCACAAATTTCCTGGACGCAAGTCATCTTCTGGTGGGTAGCAGTCATGGAACATTTGAGAAAGTCCTTCCAGGTGCTCAAGAATAATGCTTGTGATATTTCTCACATTTAAGTCTGATGAGTTTGAGAATTCAGAAAATGAAGGGAACATATCATAATCATTCTCTTGTGTCCGCTTCAACCACATTTTTAACTTTTTCTTATAAATATCCATTTTATTATACAAATTGAAGAAAGTAGTCATGGTTCCTTGAAGACTTGAATTTAACTCATTTATAAGTGAAAATATATCCGCTAAATAGGCTAGCTTTGCAACCCATTCCTCATCATGAAAATAGGTGGCGAAATCTGAATGCTTTTGATTTAAAAATATTTCAATTTCATGTCGTAATTCAAATAACCTTGTTAAAATTCTCCCTCTTGATATCCAACATATTTCAACATGAAGTGGTAAATTCACATGCTCGGGTCCCATCTCTTCACACAAAATTGTTAACATCCGTGAACTCGATGAATTACTCTTTACAAAACTTAAAATTTGTGCTGACTGCAAAAGAACTTCATGTAAACATGGAGACAACTTTTCAGCTGCTAAGAGTTCACGGTGAATAAAACAATGTGTAAATGCCACTGTACTCATGGCAACTTCTTGAATTTTTGCCCTTAAATCAGAATACCTGCCAGTAATGCTTGCAGCCCCATCAGTACAGAGACCAACACAATGTTTCCAATTCAGAGATTTACTATCAATATACTTATTTATTAGTTCAAATATTTCAAAACCAGTGATTTGAGAAGGCATTTCAAGGCAAAATAATAATTCTTCTTTTATATCACTATACTCATAATCAATGAAACGAATATAGCACAAGAGAAGGGTGGTATTTGAGATTTCTGATGACTCATCTATCTGAAGAGCAAACCACGCTGACTCTCTGACCTTTTGGATCAGCTGATCTTCGATGTCTGCAGATAATTCATCAATTCTGTATCCAACTATATTATTAGAGAGAGGAATGGTTTTCATTTTGTCTCCAGCACTTGAACCCAAAACTTCCGAACACATTTCTACTAAATATGGTTTGATTAATTCTTCAGCAATAGAGAATGGCTTCTTGCTGGCAGCAATTTGGAAAGCGATTAAATAAGAAGCTTTCACAAGTGACTTTTCAACTAGTAAACACTTTTTTAAAGAACTGTTTTGACATTCCATTTCAAGAGATTTTTGTACAAAGAAATCTACTGGCTTGTTTTCTAATTCTGAATGTTTTGTCTTCAAATGATGAGAAAGATTTGCCGGCTTCAAACTTTCACTGGGTAAGATCTCTCCACAAACGACACACTGTGGCCTTGGTGAACTCTCTTTTGATCCAGGACACATAATACAACCAACCTTTAAATATTCCACATCATAAGTCTGGAAAAAACCTATTCTTTTTTTCTTTGCAGGTGGAGAATCAAGTTCTGCATCATTTTTCTCATTTGGCATAGCTAAATCTGAAGGAAATATTTGAATCACTGTTAAATGTGTAAACTGTTAAGTTCAAGAACAAATAAGCATTGTTCTTTGTTTTTTCCCCACACATTTAAAATTTATTTTTTGTTACTATTTATATTTATGAAAATAATATCCTGATTAAAGTTTTAAAAACAGACTATAATACCTTCATGATGCCATTAAAAACTCAATTTCCTCCTTTGTCCAAGGTTTGGCCACTTGATTATAATAAAATTATAAGCTGTAAAATGTGAAATTAATTTCAAGTATCTAATAGTTTACTGGAATTAGTTCTGAAGTCCATGACACACACAGATTAAGAATAAATTATTTTATTTTCAAAGAGCTCAGGAAAAAAACCAAAATGTTAGAAGAAGGAAGTACTTGGTGAATCTAGATAAAGGGTATGCTGACATTAATGATACTGTTTTTCAATCTGTCTGAATTTTGATATTTTTCAAAATTAAAGTTGAGGAAAAGAAAGAAACCTAGTTATTTAGTTAAAGACACAGGGGCAATTGTTGATTGTGATATCCAGTGTCAGAGAGGGTGAAGAGAAATTAATCCTATCCAACACTGATATTTAGAACATAAATTGTAACTTTTCAGGAAGGCAATTTAGCAACAGGTTTTAAAAGCTTTAAAAACTGACTACAGCCTTTGAATGAGTAATCCTGCTTCTTAGGATTTGTCTTAAGAACATAACTAGACAAGTGGACAAAGATCCATTAATACACTTTAACTTGACATTGTTTATAAGTATTAAAAAATCTAGGAGCTGGGGGTAGAGCTCAGTGGTGGAGCACTTGCCTAGCATACGGCATGTTTTGGGGTCAATGCCCGTACTGGAGAAGAAAGGAAGGAAGGAAGGAGATAAATAAATCTGAAGTTCTAGTCTTAGGGGGTTGGTTATGTTATATACTCTGAAATTTATGTATATTAAGAATTCTGATGTATATTTAAATTTATACTGACATGGAATATTTTCAATAGTATGAAATAATAAAGCAATTAACAGTTTACAACAGTATACAGAAAATAATCTAATATTTAGTCTAGAAATTTAAAAATGTATAGGTACACATATACCCCCACATATAGATGCCCACAGAGCCTTTACTAACCTCCACATGTGATCATATAAATTCATGTACATAGTGTATCATTTTAACAGGGATATAAAATAATCAAATCTCCTGAAGAAGAAAAATAGCAATTTCTTTGACTCCTACCATAAGAAAGGTACCCTGAATAAAAAACAACTGAGTACTTTTTGACAGATTATTTTTTTTTTTGCTATAGTTGTTATTGTTTTTTTTTTTTTTTTGAGACAGGGTTTATCTAGCTAAATTGCTGAGGCCAGCCTCTAACTTATAATTCTGCTGCCTCATCCTCCTGAGTTGCTAGGATTAGAGGTGTACCGTGCCCACATAGACTAAGCTTTTTAAATACAGATAATTACATAAGGAAAAATCTTTATTAAAAATAAATCAGACTGGACATGGTATGCATGGCTAAAATCCCAGCTGTTCAGTCAGCTAAGGTAGGAGGATCAAAAATTTGAGGCTAGACTGGGCAACTAAGCAAGGCTGTAAGCAATCTAGCAAGACCCTGTCTCAAAATAAAAAATAAAAAGTGCTGGGGAATATGGCTCAGTGGTTAAGCACCCTTGGGTTCAATCCCTAGTATCTATCAATCAATAAAGACAAATAGATAAATAAATAATAAAGGGCTGGGGATATAGCTCAATGCTTTGCACTTGCCAAACATGCCCCGGGTTCAATTCCAGTATCATTAAAAATAATTTAAAAAATGCTTTGGGCATAGCTGGCTACTAAAGTAATTGTAAATACAAGCACAGTGGGCTTAAAAGTAGTTAAAATGGACTGGAGCAATAATTTACAGCTTTTTCAAGTATGAAGTCCAACAATTTTTCTGATCACAAACATCTTAGATATGTCTAACAATTGAAGTCAGTGTTTAAAAAAAAGAAAAAAGAACTAAGGTTAAACCAGTAACACTTTATTAAAAATAAAATCAGACTGGACATGGTATGCCATGTCACTTAACTCAGGGGCACTTAACCACATCTCCAGCCCTTTTTATTTTGAGTCAGGGTCTTACAAAGTTGCTTAAGTCCTCACTAAGTTGCTGAGGCTGGCCTTGAATTTAGGATCCTCCTGCCTCAGCCTCTTGAGGGGCTGAGATTATACACATGCACCACAACACCTAGCTAAATCAGTAATAAATTTAATCAAATCTTTATCTTAGTAATTAAAATAGTTGTCTGCATATTTGGAAAAGAGCAATATACACATGTAGATGTCTGTGTATATACAAGTCTGTTCACATACATGTGTGCATGTGAATTTAGAGAGGTGATCTAGAAATTAATGTTTTTCACATTCAAGAAACTGTCAATTCTTTCTTTCCTTTCTTATAAAAACCAGTAAACACATTGGGGAAAGCACAAAGTCACGTACCTGTCTGACATTCCTTCTGTTGTGTATGTGGTTTGCAAGAGGTGGCCTTGGTCTGTGTGACAGGCTTACATAATACAGCTTTATTCTTTAAAAGCTTGGAAGACTGAGAAGACTGGGAAGATATAAGTTTCATGGCATCTGATTGTGCACTTTCCTAGTTAAATACAAAAGAGAGTTTTTAGTTCCTTATCACTAATTACTATCATTTAAAAGTGATATATGGGGGGGGGGCTGGGATTGTGGTTCAGCAGTAGAGCGCTCGCCTAGCACGGGCGGGACCCAGGTTTGATCCTCAGCACCACATAAAAATAGAGGCATTGTGTTGTGTCCATCTACACCTAAAAAATAAATATTAAAAATTTTTAAAAAGGTGATATATCAAAAGAAATATAATTTGTCTGAAAGAGCAGTTGCAAAAAAGAAGGTACTTTGGGAAACATATGTTAATTCTCAATTCTCCTAATTGGTATCAGTTCAATTTACTGACTTTTTAAAAAAGATATTCTGAGGGCTGGAAGAGTACCTCAGAAGGAGAGCCCTTGCCTAGCATGTGTAAGGCCCTGGGTTTGATCCAAGCACTACAAAAAATAAGTAATAATTCTGCCTGTAGCATGATCCAAATAATGAAAACAATTTTTGCTGATTAGGACAATTGGCTACTCAGAAAAATTAGATCCAACCTCAGAACATACAGGAAAAAAATATTCTTTATTGATTAAAGACCAATATTAAAAAAAAAAACTTAAAATCACTGGAGAACTTCCAAATGATCAAAGTGCACAGAAAATATTCTTAAATCAAACACAAAAGAAATAACAAAATAAAAAAGACTGATACACTTGACCACCTGGGAATTTAAAACTTCTGTGAACAAAGGTCTTTATAAAATAAAATTAAGGATAAACAACAGAGTGGGAGAATGTATTTAAATGTTTATTCATTTAGTAAATATTTACTGAATGTTTACCACAAACCAGGGACTGTTCTAAGCTCTGGGGATAGAGCAGAAAACAAATGGAGTCCTGCTCTTATGAGCCTTACATTCTAGAGGGAGACAGAAAACAAACAAGTAGAACAAACATATAATGTATAATTCCAGATAGTGACAACAGCAGTAAAGAAAAATAAAGCAGGGTAAGGGAATGAAAAGTGACAGTGTGAAGGATACTTCTGGAGAAAACATCTGAGCAAAGATCATCTGAATTATTCAAGAGTAATGAGCCAAGCAAAAGTCTGAGGTCAGAGGAGTCCAGGCAGAGGAGCTGCAGGTGCAAAAACCCTCAAGATGGAAAGGGCCTAGCGTGGCTTAGGAATATCAACAAGAATGAAGCTGAAATAGTAAGCAGGGAGAGAATGGGAATATTGGGAAGGTTGGCAGAAGTCAATATGTGTAAAACCAGAAAATCCTAGTTAAAAACAGCAGCAACAACAACAAAAAAGGGACTGTATTTTAAATATGATGGGATGCCACTGAAAGTTATATTTAAATTCATTTATTTAAAATAAGTAATGAGTTGGGCACAGTAGTACATGCCTTGTAATCCCAGAGACTTGAGAGGCTGTGATGGGAGGATTTCAAATTACAGGCCAGTCTCAGCAAATTAGTGAGACCACCCCCCTCTCAAAAAAAAAAAAAAAACAACAGGAATGTTCAATGGTAAAGCACCCCTGGGTTCAATCCCCAGTACCAAATAAGTAAATAATAAATGTACTTAGTACAAAATTTAAAAGGTATAAAAGTGTACATGTTAATGCCATCTATCTAGACTCAAATTTGCATACAACCACTATTACCAGTTTCTTCTAGAGATGGTCTATATAATTAAATAATTGTTTCTGACTACAAATGGTAGCATATTAGCAAGATTGAGCACTTTGTTCTTGTCACTTAACAACCTATCTTAGAGGTATATCTACATAATTTTGTATGAAGCTGCCTAGAACGGCTTGCATAGTTGGCCATTACAGAACATACAATAATATGAAGATTCCTTGCTGACGACCATTTAGGTAGTTATAAATCTTACGCTACAGTAACTATCTTATACATAAACTGGTTCTGCATATGTTAGTATTTCTACAGAATAAAGTCTAAAGTTGTTGGTGGGTATTAAAGTACATGTACATGATTTTAATTCTGATGATATTGCCAAATTGCTCTTCATAGAAGTTATACCATATTACAAGGCCATTAGCAATATATGCAAGCCTGTTACCCAACATCCTATTCAACTGAGTATTATAGTTTTTGCTATTTCTAATGAGTGAAAAATTATCTTATTCTAGTGTGATGAAGCATTTCTTCATGTGTGAGCATTACTTACATTTCCTTTCCTGTGAATTGTCTATCAAATCTTTGCCTTGTTTTCCTTTATTTTTTTTTAAATCCTATGCATATGCAACATAAAATTTAAAGATTCAAATAGTAAACAATGTCAAAATAATTTTCCCTCTTAAAATTCTCTCCCATTCAGTTCTCCTCAGAGACAGTCACTATAATCTAGTTATTGTTGGCATATTCAGGTATATTCTATACGTGTATACAAAAATGCACAAAGGCACACCTGTGTTTAAAGCACAAATGGGAGGGTGCTTTTCCTCTATGTCTACACATACAGAGCTGCTGCATTCTTTTTAACAACAGCATAGTATTCTGTTGTATGGATATGTTATACCAAGTTTAACTACAACCAAGGCTATTATATATGCTTGTAAGGGAGGTTCCACTTATCAGGCCATGTAAACAGGTGTGGGACCAGAAAGGGGTGAACTTCAGACTTTGCCTGAATAGGGCTATTTTTTCCTAATTCACATGGTAATTCAAGAATGAACTCACCATGAGCCCAGTCACTGATGAAACAACCAGGTTGCTTTCACACTTCTGTTACTGTGAAAAATGCTGCAGTTTATATCCTAGTATATAATCAATTTCACAAATGTGCAAAATGTATTTGAAAGGTATATTACTAAAAATGGAATTTCTAGGTAAATTATATTTACATTTTAAATTAAGGTCTCTATTAAATGACTCTGTAGCAGCTTTACCCATTTATGCTCCTATTAGCAATGTGTAAGAATGATTTAACAATGCTGTTCATCATTTCTATCTTGGCCAATATGATTAAACTGCAATTCTAACAGTATTTCTCTAATTTTGAAGTTGAATATCTTTTCCTATGTTTAAGAGCTATTTTTATGTTCAGTCTGTAAACTGATGGATCATATTTTGGCCTATTTTCTACTGGACATTGGGTCTTTTTATTGATTCACAAATTCTCTTTATACAGTTTTTTAAACTAGCTTTTTGTAAAAAGAGTTGCAACCTTTGCATTCTGTCATTTGTCTTTGAAATATAGTTGAATTTCCCTGTGGCTTCTTTCATGGAAAGTAGAAATGCTTTCCCCACTTCTACATTATTAAATTTTTCTCCTGTTTATTTCTTAGTACCTTCATTGTTTCTTACATTTAAATATTTTCTCTATCTAAACTTTATTTTGGTCTGAATTGTAAGGTAGAAATCCATATAGAAATCTTCTATATGTCTACTCGGCTGTCATATCATTATTGAATAATCCATATTTCTCTTACTGATCTGAAATGCCACCTTTATTGTTACTAAATTTGAACACACACACACACACACGGTCTATTTCTGGATTTCCTTTCTGTTGAGATGTCTACTCCTGTAGCTGTGTCTTAATTATGTATGTAGCTTTATATCTGTAGTTTTCCAATAATTTTAATATGTGGGAACTAGCTCCTTCCTTTCTTTATTCCTCTGCTTTAGAATTTCAACAAAAAGGCTTTTGAGCATAGGAGTAACATGATTTGATTTGTTTTAGAAGGATCATTTTGGCAACCACAGGGAGAAAAAACAGGGTAAGAATGGATACAAGAAGACAGGCAGGAGGTCACTGAAATAATCCAGAAGAAAGGCGACAGTACAGATGTAGCCCAAGGGTGGTAAGAAGTAGCCAAGGCTGCAGAGAAGCCTAAGGGAAATACAATGATTCTATTTTAGACATATTTGAGATAGTTATTCTAAATGGCTACATCTAAATGTCAAGTAGGCAGTTGGATACATGAATCTAGCTAGAGCTCAAAGGTCAGAGCAAGAGGAATGAATCTGAAAATCAGCCCCATCATCTAGGTGGTACTAAAAACTACCTAATGACAGACTAGAATAGTGTGAGATTTCATAATGCTACCCAGAATGGTGTGCAATATAAAATTTATGAATTACTTATTTCTGGAATTTTCCATTAATATTTTCAGACTATGGTTGGCCATGGGTGACAGAAACCATAGAAACAAAAATGACTGTACAAAGACCCAGAAATCAGTTAGAAAAAGGTAATTCAGTACAAAAATAGGGGGAGATTAAAAGAAAGAAATTCTAAGAAAAGAAAATCCAAAGGACCAAAATACAGAAATATAAGCAAACCTACTAGTAATCAGAGACATATAAAATAAGAAAACAATAAAACCATCAAACAGATTGGCAAGAGGAAAAAAAATTAAATATGACATTTAATAAAAATGAGTGGGGGAAAAAGGAACACTTTTACACCATTGATAGGTTTATAAATTAGTATAACCACTATGAAAATCACTATGGAAGTTCCTCAAAAGACTAGGGATGGAGTCACCATATGACCCAGTGACACCAGTCCTCAGTATTTATCCCAAAGACTTGAAGTCATTATACTACAGCAAACATGCGTACTCATATGTTTATAGCAGCACAGTTCACAATGGCCAAATTATGGAACCAGCCTAGGTATTCATAAATAGATGAACAGATAAGGAATTGTATTATAAACACAACTGAGTTTTATTTAGTTATAAAGAAGAATAAAGTTATGTCATTTGCAGGAAAATGGATGAAACTTGAAAGCATCATGTTAAGTGAAATAAGGCAAACTCAGAAAGTCAAGAGTCAAGTCATATGTTTTCTCTCTCATGTGGAAGCTAGAGAGAAAAAAGAAGAAGGTAGGGGGATTTCATTAAAATAGAATGGTGACAGGTAGAATAAAGAAAGGGAAACAGAAGGAGGGAAGATGGGAGAAAAGGGAGTTGCTCAGGGAGTTGCTCTGAAATGAAACTGACCAAATTGCATTGTTATACTGTGTGCATGCAGATATAACAACCAATCCCACTACTATGTATAATTATAATACAATAATTAATCGTTTGTGGTATTAAGAATTGAATAGGGGCTGGGGATACAGCTCAGGTGGTAGAGTGTTTGCCTCACATGCACAAGGCCCTGGGTTCAATCCCCAGAACCACACACACAAAAAAGAATTGAACAGGGGGGGCTGGGGTTGTGGCTCAGTGGTAAAAGCACTTGCCTAGCATGTGTGAGGCACTGGGTTTGATTCTCAGCACCGTAGAGAAATAAAGTCCACTGACAACTAAACAATTAAAATAAACAAATAAATAAAAAGAATTGAACAGAGGTGCTTTGCCACCAAGCTACATCCCCAGACCTTTTCATTTTTTATTTTGAGACAGGGTCTTGCTAAATTGCTGAAGCTGGACTTGAACATACAAACCTCGTGCCTCTGCCTCCTGAGTCTCTGGGATTACAAGTACACACCATTGTACTCAGCCAATTAAAAAACTTTTAAATAAATAAGTAAAAAGAAATGATGGTGAGGCTATGAGAAATGGATATAAACAAATAACAGTCACTGTAGGGCAATTTAAAAACTAGAAATCCAAATACTCTTTGACTCAATAATTCTACTCTTTCATTTCTACACTAGAGAAATTCCTGCATATAGATGCACAAGAAGACATATACAAGGATATTCATTTTAGCAGAGATTTTTTTTTTTAATAGTAAAAAGCTAGAAACAACCTAATGTTTAACAATAACGCAGTGGATAATTAAATATGGTACCTACAGAAAATACAATACTAAATAGTAATCAACAGAAATGTACAAAATGTATTGTATCAACACGGATAAATATTTCTAAAAATAATATTAAATATTTTCATACTACATATACAAAAGATTACAAAATGGTCTGAAAGGACACCCAAAACTCATGATATTGCTTCTGGAGATGTGAGAAGGGGTTAGTGATAGTGAATAATTTTTAAAAAGAAAAAGGCAAGAGGGGAAAAACTGTAGGCAAATAATGGTTAATTCTAGGTGATGGGAACAAAGTAGAGCAGGAGTTGACAAACTACAGACTTTGGGCAAAGTCCAATCTTCTATCCATTTTGTAAATAAATTTTATTGGGACACAGCCACACTCACTAATTCGTCTATTGTCTGTGTTCGTTTCTGCACGGCAATGGCAGAACAGAGACCAAATGATCTACAAAGTATTTACTACCTAAAGTTTGCTGACTTTTTCAGATTTTCTTTGTACTTTTCATAATTTTTTTGCCATTCCACCAAATTTAAGTACATTTAAATAACTGAAGGGAGATTCACACTGCCATTCTTGGAGAAACAACAACAAAATGATTCTAAGACTGTCAGGGACTTCTTTCACATCATAAGAGCATTACATTATTTACTGTTAGCTTTTTATAGACTAAACTGAAAATCTTAATCAGAGGTACTTGGTAACACAATTTAAATGACTGGTGAATTTTAAAAATACTCCACATGAGGAAAGCATATATAGGGCAGACACATTAAATATGAGGTACAGAGTTCCTGAATAACCTGAATAATTCAAACCTAGCATAATTCAAGACTAACTGTCCCATTTAGACAAAGTGGCAGAGGGATGTATTCTCAGACTACATAAATCTACAATCAATATAGAACATTTGTATAAACATGTTAATAATACTTATTAATATATAACATTAAAACACTTCATTATATAATTGTATAGTTAATAATTATACTGTATAGTTAATAACAATTATTAATGGTACAATAGTGATTTACTAATCATGTAATTTTAAAATAATTTAATGTACAACATATAATATACAAATAAATATCAAAGTAAGTTAATTTAATGACATTTCATTAATATGGTATATTGCCTGAAGATAACTAAGTAGGAATTATCATCTTCCAACAACACAAATAATGGGAGAGTTAAGAGCTACTAAATTAGGACAAGCTATCTTTCTACATTCCAGTGAAAGGTGGTTTGATTCCCTGCAAGACTTTTGCTAAAGAATGAATCTAATGTGGTTTTTTTTCTCTCTTTTCTTCCACTGAGGATTTCTTGACAGGCAGATTCATTTTTGATCTTTTTCCTTGCTACCTAGAACAGCAATCCATACTTGGATTATCTTGTTCAAAAATAAATGATTTCTACTAAAACATGGTTAAAAGCTCATGCCAACAGTCTTACTGTTAGTTGTAAGGAAGACCAGGTTAATTGCTGTGGTCTTCTTCCTTCTGCCTTTGTTTTTCTAATTCTAAATCAAGCAAATTTTCAGTTTTTAAATAAATTTCCCATGTTCATTTTATGTATATAATGTATAATATGTATATATGTATTATAAGTATAACACATGCAATCTCTATATCCATATTAAGAGATAGAAAAATAGAACTAAGAATATTGTAAAATTAGCTTCTTCCAAGCAAATTTTTAATGGGCCCTTCATTGACTGTGCAAATCTACCTTCTTTACCACTCTCACAGAATCATTTTTATCAAGTTACCATATATTGTCTTCCAAATGATAGGTTCTTTAAGGTGTTAATAGCTTTAGAGGTAGTAGATATAGTCTGCCTGCTCAGTTTTATATTCTTAAAACCTCAATGGGGCCAGGCATGATGGCCCATGCCTGTAATCCCAGTGGCTCAGGAGGATGTGGTAGGAGGATCCTCTGGGTTCCATCCCCAGTATCAAAAAAGAAAACGAAAAAATCTCAATGGACTTTAAAATTAGAAGGGCAGTGACTTTCAGTAAAACATTTTGTTTCACTGTCATCTCCTTTCAAATCATGCCCGTACTGCCAGGATATTTTCCACTTATTTCATTATCCTTGCCTGGCTGTAATTTTTGTGAACTAAGGAAGTGCACCTACTTTAAGGCTGCTTTGGGTTTCTTGACCATCATCTCCACCACTGTGCAGGGTAAGTACACTTGGCTGAATTAGCAGTATGAGGTATCATCTTCATAGATTTTCATCACATCTAACTTCTATTCCAAAGCTACTGAATTTGGGGCACACTTTTTAGCACCAGCACTACCACTTAACCCTTGAATAATACCATCATATAAGATTTTTAATTATATCAAGAGCAAATGTTAAGATAGCAGCACAACAGTCACCAAAAACATTAACCCAAGAACTAACACACTAACATGATCCTGATAAAGGACAAAGGAAATTTTATTCTCCTATTAAGGTGATGCATAGTTTGTAATCCTTTTAGCCTACCAGATCTGAAATGATGCATTTCCTAAATTTTTAAAAATTTTTTGGGAAGTTTCACTCTATTTCAAATGAGACATAAAATGAGAGTTTACATATACTTTCACCTTGCACATTCTCACAAAATTTATTTACAATGACTCCACACTAAACTTTCAAAAAACTTTCTAGTCTAAAAAATAAATACTTGAAAATAGTAAGAAAAATAAGCAACCAGATGAAATAGCAATCTTTTTTAAAAAATTAAAGTTAACACAAACAGTAAAATAAATCAGGAATATATTCTTATTAATGATCTAGAGGCAAACTATAACGTTCAAGATAAAAAGTTAGTGCATGATATATTACTCTGCCTTTTAAAAAAAAATATATATATATATTTTGTTGTAGATGGACACAACACCTTTATTTCACTTATTTAAATCTATGTGGTGCTGAGGATCGAACCCAGTGCCTACACATGCTAGGTGAGCACTCAACCACTGAGCCACAACCCCAGCCCCTATTTTACTTATTTTTATGTGGTAATGAGGATCGAACCCAGTGCTTTACATGTGCTAGGTGAGCGCTCGCTCTTCCACTGAGCCATAACCCCAGCCCTACTCTGCCTTTTGTAAATAGACTATAAGTAGAAAATTATTCAGATATATTAGAATGTTATGTCCAAAATGAAAATAAACCCTAATGGTATTATCAGGAAAAATAAAAAAGTAAAAATAAAACTTACATCTTCAATGATCTTTGCTGCCTCCTTAGTAGCTGCACCTGTTATAAATTAAGATTTTTTTTTTTTAAAAAAAGGTTTTTTTTACAGTGATGGGATCAAACCCAGGACCTTGTGCATGCTAAGCAAGCACTTTACCACTAAGCTATACCCCAAGACATACACTACTATTCCCAAAACAAATATAATAACACTGAGATCAAGGAGTTAATTTCCTCCCTCCAAAGTAGGCTACAGTCTAGACTAGAATTTTCAAAAAATGGACTAAGGAAACCACATCAATATCACCTGTAGTATATGGTAAAGGTAGGGATCTCCAGGCCCCAGGCCCAAGGCCCATCTTATTGCATTAGAATCTCTGATGGTAAAGAAGCAGGTATGTTAAAATCATCTGGGTTCTTGAAAAAAAAAAATCAACAATCTATATGGCTTGCTTTTACACCAACATCACCTTGCTTGCTACCTACTTTCCCCAGAGACAGAGAAGAGGGTTTTCTTATATAAAGAAAAATATTACCAAGAAGAAACAATTAGGCTTACCTCTACCTTCTAGCCAAATGCCTTTTTATCAAATCATACCTTTTAAAACACTGTTAGTGTTTCCTGTAGATTGGGCAACAGGTATTTTTGCCAATGACACAACATTGGTTATAACTGGTGTTGTAACTGTCTTTGCAGAAGGGAGCTCCATCAAAGCAGTTCGTGCCTTACAAATATTTACTGATTAAAATAAATAAAAAGACCAGGTATAAACAAAATAATCATACAATACAACACACAAAGCTATTTAACAACAAGGTTCTCAAGAGGCAATGAAAATATCTAACTCTATATAACACTGGGTTGAGGGATTCTGGTCAGATTAGTGTTTACTGGGGCTTAAAAAGAGCTTGATTCTGGGGCTGGAGATGTGGCTCAAGCGGTAGCGCGCTCGCCTGGCATGCGCGGGACCCTGGGTTCGATCCTCAGTACCACATAAAAATAAAGATGTTGTGTCCACCGAAAATTGAAAAATATTAAAAAATTCTCTCTCCCTGGGTTCGATCCTCAGTACCACATTTAAAAAAAAAAAAGGAGCTTGATTCTGTAAAATAAGCTTCAAATGACATTTTCTGGGTAAAAATATAGGTATTAGCTTCAGGAGTGACTGGGCTGTTCTATTAGTGAATGTTAAAACTCTACACTTAAATTTGCTTCAAATAAAAATTTAACATGCCAATTTATCTAAGTAAGTTGATGAGGGACCTATCTATCCACCACTTAACATTGGTTTTCTGAAGCTACATTACAAAATGAATATTCTTCCAAACATGACTGGTCCGGGATAACAAATAGCTAACACAAAAGATCAGCATATATGATTAAGGTAAGAATTAATAAGACTGCAAAGGTAGACAAGAGCCAGACTGCAAGGGGCCAAAGGACATAAATTCTGTTAATTAGGTAGCACTTCAGGCTCTGATCAGAGAACATTATATCAAGTGTTTTTTTGGGGGGATTTTTTTATTTGTTCTAATTAGTTATACATGACAGAATAAATTTTGATCCACTGTACACAAATGGAGCATAACTTCTCATTCTTCTTGATGTACGTGGTGTTGAGTCACACCAATAGTGTAATCATACATGTATATAGGGTAATAATGCCAAGCGTTTTGATCTAACATTCAGAAAGTGCTACTTAGGAAAGCTACTTTAAGGACATGCCACGTATCTATTCTTCTGACAGTCTGACCACATTAGCTGTCCTACTTACAAAATTATTTTATTCTTAGCCAAGAAAAACTTTGCTACCCATGAAGAAGTGGTCTATTTATTTTTTCTGAGATAATTAATGTGTTGTTCTTTTCTCCTTTGCTACAAACAGGCTCTGGATCAAATCTTAATCAGCTACAGAAACTATATTAATCTACTTAAATCCTCTCCCTTTGTTTGTGCTGATTTTTTAAGTTTCAGACTAGTCAGTTAATAACTGAAAATAAACTATGTAAGTTATGTATGTACACGTAAGTTCAATCAAAAGCAATCAAATAAATATTTCCTATAAATTAGTACAGATTTATTAATTTCTTGGTATGTTTGATTATGAGACCAAAATTAAATTTCCCATCAGATTATTTGAATCCAGTAAAATTTTGTTTTTATTATATTATTTTCAACTTCGTATGCTGATAATATATCCTAGAACTGATATAAAAGTCTCATTAGCTAAGTTTAATCTTACCTTTATTTTGTGGAGGAGGATCATTCATGCTTTGCTGATGGCAGAACTTCAAGACACAGAACAGATTACAGAAATGTTTGATGATGCCTCTCCATTTTATGGACTCACTTAGCTTACCCTGTCGTTTACAACCATCACACTTGGCCATCTGAGAAAGAAATTTAAGACAATATAGGCTCAAAACTATAAAATAATGAAAAGATAACATTCATCATAAACTAGAGGCACTATGAAAACATGGTATATAGGTCAGCTGAGTCTACAAAATGTAAGGTTCCTATTCTAAAATACTGAAATTAAAGTGTGAATATATATAAAATGTGAATATATATATAGATAGATAGATAGATAGATATAGATATTCACACACACATATAATTATTTTTTTTTCACATAGATGTCCTAGGTTAAGAATATACAAACAGGGAGCTGGGGTTGTGGCTCAGCACTAGAGTGCTCACCTAGCATGAGCACTCACATGTGTGAGGCGCTGGGTTCGATCATCAGTACCACATAAAAATAAAAGATATCGTGTCCACCTATAACTAAAAAAAAAAAAAAAAAAAAAAAAAAAATTTCTTTTCCTTTTTAAAAAAAAAAAAAAAAAAAAAGAACATACAAATTGCTCTTCTGTTTTCAAAATTAGTGATGAAAAAATCTAAAGGCAGATTCTATTTTCAAAACATTAAGAAGCCATATAGGCATGGTGGTACACGCCTGTTATTACAGCTGCTGGAGAGGCTGAGGTGGAAAGATCAAAAATTCAAGGTCAAGGCCAGCTGAGCACAGTGATGCACGCCTGTAATCCCAGCAGCTTGGGAGGCTGAGGCAGGAGGATCACAAGTTCAAAGTCAGACTCAGCAAAAGTGAGGCACTAAGCAACTCAGTGAGACTGTCTCTAAAATACAAAATAGGGCTGAGGATGTGGCTCGGTGGCCAAGTGCCCCCGAGTTCAATTCCTGATACCCCCACCCCAATGACGCACCAAAAAAAAAAAAAAAAAGTTCAAGGCCAGCCTGGGCAACTTAGCCAGTTTCCAAGTAAAATAAAAAGGGCTGGGAATATAGCTCAGTGGTACAGCACTTCTGGGTTCAATCCCCAGTAACACCCACACACACACACATACAAAAGGCAGCAGCATATGACAGTAGAAGGAATATAGGCTTTGAGGTCATTAAGACTTTTATTTACTCAACAAACATCTAATTAGATATCCACTGTCTTAAGCACAGATTGGTCCTAAACATAGAAAGAGTGATGAAAAAGTTATTATCTGCCACCACAAGAATATTATATTTTGGGAGTGAGGTAGATAAGAAAATAGAGACTTCAATAAAGTGTTACAGGTGCTACCTAGGTGTCACCTACCAGCTTCCTCAAAGGCACATTACTTAACCTCCCTAGTCTTCACTTCTTTTCTTTATTTTTAATTGTAACTATCATTGACAGTCTTTCAAAAGGTAACCTTTTCTAAAAGAAAGTGGGTAAGGTTGCTAGTCATTGTCATTTGACCCATGAAGTAAGAACAAGGTCTGACTTCAAATTCTTCAGAGTAACCTAAATGAGAGCCACTTCAGGCAATATTATGTAAAGTTATAACTGAAAAGAACTCGAAGTTACAAACAAGGTCAATGTGCCTTGAAATAAATGAAAGAAAGCAAAAATAAATGGTACATGTCTTCAATCAACAACAAAGTCTCTAGAAATCCTAACTCTGTTCTCCAAAGATGGTTATATTCAACCAAATTTTGTTACAGTAGCCTATAATTTATTCTATACAGCTCTAAACACCACACTTTTATTCACATAATTTGAACATATTTTAAATAGAAAATAATTTGCACTAACTTAAAAAAAAACACACAAAAGCCTACTTGGGAGGCAGAGACAGGATTGTGAGTTCAAGGCCAACTCAACACCACAGTAAGACCATGTCCCAGTGGGAAAACAAAGAAAAGTTAAAAAGTATATCACACTTACCTGATAAAACAAAACTGTAAATTTGGTCATGCAGTCTTCACAACAAAACTCTTCTAACTTTCCCTCCAATCGATTTTCTACCAAATTAGGGGAAGTCTGTGAACAATAACTACACATCTTACAGTAGTTTCCCCATCGCTCTCCAAAGTCTCGAGCAGAGAGAAGTTTGCAGACTGAGCACACACAGGGATGCAAGAAGAAACATCAAATTTACATTAACTTCTAGTAGGTAAAGTGAGTTTCTATAGTCACAGATACAAATCCTAAGCTAATTCCTAAACGTTTGACACACTATTTGCCTCTAGGTTAAAGAAGTCTTTTTATATTCACAAAACAAACCCACATCCCCTTTTAAATGTAAATATAAGACCATCTATATTCAGAAACATCAGAACTATAAGTTTCTTAAACCAAGAAGCAGTAACTGCTAAAGTTCCCTATTTACAAACAGGTCAAAAAACAAAAAAACTCTAATGTCATAGCTAAACTTACAAGACTTTCTATATGAATACCATTATTTAATTATATTTTGATAATTTTTCCTCACTGAGGTTACTGTAACATTTATAAAAAGAAAGACTTCAGGGCTGAGGCTGTGGCTCAACGGTAGCGCACTTGCCTGGAATGTGTGAGGCACTGGGTTCGATCCTCAGCACCACATAGAAGTAAATAAAAAAAATAAAGGTCCATTGACCAACTAAAAAAATATTTAAAAAAAAAAAAAAAAAAAACAAAGACTTCAGGGCTGGGGTATAGCTCAGTAATAGATCACTTTCCTACAACAAAAAGGCCATAAATTCAATCCCAGCACAGCAAAAAAATAAACTTGAAAAAAAGACTTTAAACTAAGTAAATCTCAACATAAAAAATGTTCAACTTATACCTCATAAGAGAAAAATTACTTGAAAATTAATCATGATTAATTGCCCAACTCATCATAAATTATTTCATAACAACCACGTGCTGTGTATATAATACGAAGCCATTTTCTTTACCTTCACTACAGAATGGCTTATCAACCCCTGAGAATCTCACAGTTTCCTTTATAATTTTCTGTAGTTTACAGTAGTCACACATTGCCATAACTTTATTTTTTCTTTTGTATTCATCAGAGCAAGTCTTGCCACAAAACAGAAACATTTTACCCTGCAGAGAAATAACAGTCATTAAGATCTAACTAAACAGCTGCTTTATTGTTAATAAATCCTTTTCCTTCTTATTTCAAAGCAAACTCAGTTGACTGTCAAAGATGAAAAAAGTACTTCTAAAAGTGCTTCTATTGCATAAGTTCCTATGCAATTCCTTTTATCATCTCTCCTTACCTTGTAGAAAAGAAGTTCTGGCTTTGTGGCAAACAGATGATAACAGTGCTGACACTTGAGTTTCACAACTGTCTGCGTTACCGCAACCTGCTGGGATTGTTCACCAAGAGTCTGGTGACTGGCTGCTATGGCAGAGCCAGTGACAGAGTTGGAGGAAATGGCAGAGGCAAGGCCACCACCTCCTGGTGGCCTTACTGATTGGCAAGGTGAACTCGCAACCACTTGGCCCTGAGACGGAGGCACGGCAGAAGACTGTGTTCCGTTTGGTTTGTTAAATACATTCTGAATGAACACAGGCAAAAATTTTAATCAACTGAGAAATAACTTAACTTGATATTTTTACTTTCTCAATTTAATTAATCCCACAACAGTTTTTAAAAATCGTATTTCTCATAGGAAGAGTTTCAATGACATACTTTCAAAATATAAGGACTGACAAATGCAACATTAAAAGGTTGAGACTTGACTAGAGTTGTAGCTCAGTGGTAGAGCTAGCATGTGTGAGGCACTGGGTTAGATTCTCAGCACTGCACATAAATAAGTAAAAAATAAACGGACAACGAAAATATATATATATATATATTTATATTTATGTTATTTTTTTTTTTCCAAAGGTTGAGGACTGGAATCCAGACTGCCCAGATAACAAACTCTCACATATTTCTCCAGTAAATTATGGCAGGCCTCGCCTTCCCTCAGGGTACCTCTTCCTGCATGCTTGTCACCAACCAAATCTTTTCTTGTTTTTGGTAGCATTGGGGAATTAGACCCTGGGCCTGACACATGCTAGGCAGGCACTCTACAACTGAACCCATCCCCTGCACTGCTGCCCCCATACTTTAAAAAAAAAAAAAACTTTGAGACACGTTCTCACCTACATTGCACAAACTGACCTTGAACTTGCTATCCTTCTACTTCAACTTCTGGAGTAGCTGGGTTTGCAGGTGTGTGTGCCACTACACTCAGTTACCAACTCCTAATAGCTATTATAACACTGTGGCTACCAGCAGTCTCTTTTCTCCTTGGGACCAGAGATACCACATCAGGCCTCCTTCCACCCAGGATATCACAAAACTCTATTCTTTTTGTGTGGATTGCAGAAAATAGAAGAAAATGGGACAAGTGGATGCTTACAACTACATGCGAAGAGTTGTTAAGTTTCTGGCCCAGAATGACAGTAAGGGGCACATGAGCTCCCAAAGGCTACTACTGTACTTCACCATACTATAGCCTAGTCTCCATCCTTCAGAAACGGAGAGAACCAAGGGAGAAAGTAGAAGGGAAGAATAGTTCACCTAAGTACCCTGAATAATGAAGCCCTATGTCCAGGCTTAGATAATTCATACAAATAACCTCTGGAACCCAGGCTGAACAGAATGTTTTTCTTTTTAAATATGAAGTTTTTAAAGTATAGACCTTCAGCAGTTAACATTTTGCCATGGAATAAAACCTAAGAAAACTACAAGGATTAAACACTACCTTAGATTGATCATACCTGGAAAGCTACCACACAGTTGGAGCTACAGAAGCTGTATATAGTTCCATTTGACATGGCTAGGTGATACTGAGGGATTGCAGAGGTTTTACAACTGTGACATGAAACCTGGACGCCTTGATGACAAAAAAAAAATAAAAAGCAATGAATACATTATAAAAATGAACAAATAAAAACCTATAAGTGGAAGAAAAAATAATCAAATATTCAGTACAACGGCACAGCAGAGTAACCTGGGGAAATTAGTTCCAAAACTCCATGAGGATTCCAAAATCCGTAAATGCTCCATTTCCTTCCATAAAATGTCACAGTATTTGCATGTAATCTATGCATACCTTTCCAAATATCTTTTCATATACTTTAAAGCATCTCTGGATTACCTATAATACTTGACAAGGAAAAAAAATGTCTGTATATGTTTAGTACAGAGGCAATTTTTTTCTGGAATATTTTTGATCCAGTTGTTTGAATCCATGAATAGGGAAGCTACAGATATGGATATACCAACTATAATAAACAACAACAACAAAAATAAAGAACAAAAAAAATCAAGGAATTCTATAATAATTTGTAAATCTAACCACATCTAACCTTTATTAACTCCTATTTAAATAACTAACCAGAACTTACAATTATTTTTTCTTTCTTCTCATATACAAAGCCTATAAAATATATATACAATTATTTGCATTTAAAAATCAGTTTTTTAAATCAAACTTGAGTATTTAACCCTACAGATAAATTTAGGTTGTTAGAAAATGAAAGAAAAGCAGTTACAGGCTTCTTCAACAGTTACTAATCTATAAATTTATCAAATTTAAACATTACCTGAAGAAGTAACAGTTTTAACTCTGTAAGCAGATAAGCAATTAATAGAACAGAAAAGTTCTGTTTTTCCTGAGTCATTTGTAGTCTCAATCATTTCAGCAGAGCGCCTCAATGATTTCCCCAGAGCATAGGGAGGAGTTTGAGCCGAATTCTATTAAGAAAACAAAATAATGTTTAGATATTTAGTGCAAGCACACATAACTACATATTGTTCTAAAAAGAAGAAAAGCTACCTTTAACAATTGCCTTTGACTGAAATATTTGAGCATGACAAGTAGACTTTTCTGAAAGTTGGAAAACAGGTTTTTTCAGACAATAATAAGATTGAAGAAAAGTAGTAGCTACTCAGACTTTAGCGAGAACAAAACACATTACAAGTAATAAACAAGGAAATAACATACTTTTCTCATCATAAATAACCAGAGAGGACCAGGTGGTCCCTGAGCCAAACAGCCATCCTCAGTATGGACCTAAACCTCAATCTAGTAAAATCCACCACCATCTTTAAAGCTACTTAACTTATGAGACTCTTTAGTGAGAGACTGAAATGCTATTTTATGCATATCATGAGATCTTACAGTACTACTTTTTTTTTTAGTTTTTTTATACTTGGACACAATGCTTTTATTTTCTTTATTTTTATGTGGTGCTGAGGATAGAATCCAGCGCCCTGCACATGCTAGGCGAGAGCTCTACCTCTGAGCCACAACCGCAGCCCCAGAACTACTAATTTTTTTAAACTGAATTTCATAATAAAATCTGCCTGTAAGTTTGTTGCAAGAAATAATTGTAGTATTAAATGGCTATTATTTATACAACCAATCTTTCTGAATGCTTAATTTAAGTCAAATCCCATGCTAAGCAATTAACATAGACTATATCATATCATTCTTAAAACAACATAGTGATGTGCTTTCAAAAATTACATTAACCAAAGTTTAAAAAGCAACTTTAGTTAAATTCAGATAAATAGAAACAGGAAATTAAACTTATTCCATCACACTCCAAAGTTTTGGCTCCTAACTGCTATATAATGGTCTCAGTAAGAAAGTAAACAGCAGGAAAATGTAAATTGTGAAGTTTCACATAATCTTCCTAGCAAAAGAGGAACATCCTTTATGCAATGGACTGAGTACAACACCAGTAACAAAATTAAACATGGAACTGATTTTTGGATCATTTACAAAATATCAGATTCTATTCCTGTGAAAGTAGTAAATAGACTGCCTAAGTGGCAACTCCTAGAAAAGATATACTTTTTAATCACGAATGTACATTCCTAACAGCACAACAGAATTACCAAATCAAAAACCTGGTCAAAAAAAAACTGTCATTCAAATTCTTTTTGTTTTTAAATATTTATTTTTTAGTTGTAGGTGGACACACAGTATCTTTTTTTCATTTTTATGTGGTGCTGAGGATCAAGCCCAGTTCACATTCTTTAAAAAAAAAAAACAACTAAAAACCCAAATCATTAGAAATAATCAAATTTACAAAGTGATATTTTTAATAACCAGATTAATCTACTATTCACTATAATAAATAAAATCAGCTAAAGTATTTTAATACTTAAGCCAAAATAACAATTAAAAATAAAAAACAAAATGACAATTAAGTTCAAAATACTCTTCAGAATAAAAAAGATGCTGGGAGTGGTGGCACACGCCTATAATCCCAAAGGCTCAGGAGGCTAAGGCAGGAAGACTGCAAGTTAAAAGCCAGCCTTAGGAACTTAGCAAGACCCTGTCTCTAACATAAAAAAAAATGGCTGGCAATGTGGCTCAGTGGTCAAGCAACCCTGGGTTCCATCCCTGGTGCCAAAAACAAACAAAAAAAAGGTAGTTTCCCAAGATTCACTGATTATCACCTTTTAACTTTTGCTCATAGTTTATTAACAATAAGGAGTTTTCTTCACGATTTCACAAAATAGTTCACACAGCAAATCATGTAATTACCTATGAATTCTTAGGCATGAAGAGAACCTTAAAGTAACCTACTCCACCTATATCATCTTACATCACAGTCACCCCTGCAATATCAGAATCACATTTTCCTGGAGAGGAAATCACATTAGGTTGAATGGATGGCAAGAGCTTACTCTTTTACTCTGCAGTTCATCCCTACTCAGCCAGCTCAAGAGTAAGCCTGACTATGCATGACAAACTGATATTCATACCTGCTTGTATGCTGTAACACTTGTTGAACTAAAAACCTTCTGGGATTGGCAAGGTCCAGAGCTACTATAGCAATAGCTTCCACAGTTCTCACAACAGTTCATGGTGAGGTTGTTGGTGGAGTGAAATTTGGAAAAACAGGCATCACTACAAAGACCATGTACCACATTTTGATATTTAACTTCAAATCGAACCTAGGAAATAAACACACAAACACACACACACACACACACACACACATATAAAGTAAGTGCAGCCAGTTAAAAAAATCTCTGATCTTTGAGAAGAGTCCCAATAAAAGTAAAATGTAACTTACATCAGCATTTTTCTGACACATACTGCACTTTGTCGAAATGCTATTGGTATATATGGTAACAACAGGTTTTTTCTTTAGCTCATAAGAAGACAGGCATGATTGGCTGCAGAAATCTTTGCTAAGAGAAGAATTTTCAAACCGGGTTGTGATCACATCCTTTATATTTAAAATTTCTCTAAAAATAAATAACAAAGGCAAAACAAAATGTAACTTTCTCCTCTTTGTAAGCTAGTATTTACCCCTGATATTTACCAGGGGCAGCTAGAAAAAGAACTTGAATAAAGCATATGAAAACCTGGAGTTGTGGCTCAGTGGCAGGGCGCTTGCCTAGCATACATGAGGCACTGAGTTCGATCCCCGGCACCACATAAAATAAACAAATAAAATGAAGGTACTGGGTCTATCTACAAATTAAAAATAATAATAATAATAATCTGGGTTGGATGATTATGTTCTGTCACTTATCAGCTGAGTAACAATGAGTTAGGCAATTACTGTTTCAATTTCCTCGTGTAAATGGGGTTTATAATATCTAATTCACAGATGTGTGGAGGGAGAACTTCATTTAAAATATAAGCAGTCAGTGGGGCATGGCTGCACATGCTTGTAATCCCAGTTACTCAAGAGGCTGAGGCAGGGGCATCACAAATTAGAGGCCAGACTGTTCAACTTAATAAGACCCTGTCTCAAAACAATATAAAAAGAGGCTAGGAATAGCTCAGTGGTATAGCATTTGCATAGCATACAGGGGGCTCTGGATTCAAAAAAGAAGTTCTTAATTAAAAATAAAACAAAAAAATATAACTGGCCAGTAGCTCATGACAAAAAAACAGTGAAGCTTCCAGCTCCAACCAAATTTCATCTCTAGAGTCAATAAGACTAAATTCAGTGGCCATCCCGTAACTCCAGACCTCAAGATATGTGTCCTCTTACTCTCCAGCAACTGCCAAGAATAGAAATATGAATGAGACATTATGTGAAATTTTTTAAAATTTAAAAATACAAGATTTGAGGAAATGGAAACTACCAATGACTAACATAAAAAATAAGCATGACATAAATGAGACAGGAAGAACACAAATAACTGAATAATTGTGTGCGATTTCTTTTTTTTTTTTTAATTGTATGAGATTTCTAGAGCCATTTTATAAGAGCTAATTATTGCAATTAGCACTGATGGAAATACCCTGGTAAAAGAGAGCTTAAATATTAATATTCCTCCCACAAGTATAAAAATCAAAGGTAACAGTCATTAACTAGAAACAGTAGTCCAGGTCAAAATAATAATAATGGCAGTAATATAAGTAAACTGAGTAACTAATATGTGCCAGGCATTATTCACTTTACTCAATTACCCTATTTATTTATTTGGTACCAAGGATTGAACCCAGGGCCCTTAACCACCAAATGAAATCCACTGCCCTTTTTGAGACAGGGTCTCACTATGTTGCTGAGGCTGGCTTTAAACTTGCAGTCCTCCTGCCTCAGCCTCCCGAGTTGTTGAGATTACAGGTATGTATCACCACCCCTGGCTCAATTACCAATTTAAATATCATAAAAACACAAGGAGGGAAATATAATTGCCACTTCACGAGTAAGAAAAGCAAATGAGAGGTGAAATCACTTGTCAAAGTTGTACTGTTGGCCAGCAGTGATGGCAGAGTACAAATGCAGGCAGCCTGGAATTAAATTGTTCCACTAACTTGGCTCCCATCTGTATCTTTATTATGCAGAATAAAAAAGTAAATAGATATGCTTATATGTAAGTGAAGTATTAATTTTAAAAAGTATCGCTCTGTTTTACTAAAAACAGCAATAAAGAATTTTACTTAATAAGGCATATCTGCCAGTGACATAGTGTATGCATAAGTTATTCAATAAAAACGACTTTTTAAAAAAACTGTGCACACAAATACAAATGCACTCCAAACCTTATGTATTCAAATGAGTGTTAAACCTTAACATTTATCCCCTTATGTATTCAAATGAATGTTAAACCTTAACATTTATCCTGGGGAAAAAAATTATACCTGTTGCCATAATAACATGGCTCAAAACATTTTCTTCTATTTTCTCTTCTTTCCCTTAACTTCTCTTAATTTATAAGAACCTAAAACCATTGTTTAATTGTATGACTGAATATCATGCTTGACAGGGTAACTCAGTTTAATCACTCACTATACTGACCTGATAAGACATCAAGTAACTTTTTTTTTTTAAATCCATGCTGAAAAGACAGATTTGTACCCTAAATTAATCTAAAAGAATGTTCCATACACTCTGAAGGCAATATCCAGAGATCAAAAACTTTTTGGGGGGGCTGCTCAGTGGCAGAGCATTTGCCTAGCATGTGTGAGGCCTTGGGTTTAATCCCTGGCACCACAATAAATAAATAAATAAATAAACACATGAATAAATAAATCTAAACAAGGGCAGCACTGTGGTAAAAAGTCACCAACCAGCGTGGCTACTTTAAAAACTATATTATACACTCAGATGTGTAAGTCATGCCAAGTTCTTTAAAACTTAATTCATTTTATATTGATATTCAATATGTTGAAACAAGATATCTAAATACAAAACTAGATTTACTCTTTCATTTCAGTTTCATTAAAATGACATTAACAGGGCTGGGGTTGTGGCTCAGTAGTAGAGTGCTTGTCTAGCATGCCTGAGGCACTGGGTCTGATACCCAGCACCATATAAAAAAAAGAAACTGAATAAAGAAAATAAAGGTATTGTGTCCATCTACGAATAAAAATATATATTTAAAAAGACATTATCATATTAAAGTATAAAAAGGGCATTTTAAAACAAATTACATTTGAATATACAAATAAAACCCTGAACAACACCTCTCCCTTTTGGAGATTTTTCTTTTAGCAGAATTTACTTTTAGATACCTTAAGCCAACATGTTGGGAGTCGCCTGGGCTCCAAAGACTAACTTCCCCATCCCCTGAGAAGAGCCGTCCAGTGGTGAGCCCTGTTGGCTCACATGATCCTTACCCACCAATCAGACTAGCCTTGCTGGCTCAATGACCCTTACCCACCAATCAGAAAGCACCCCATGCCAACTGTCAAACCATTCAACCATTAAACTGTCATAACTGTCAAACTACCCCCGGCTCTATAAATATGCAGAGGTGTTGCTCAATAAACGGCATTTTCTCCAACGACGAGCCTTGTTCGTTCTTTCAAACACACCAACTAGATAAAGAAACTGTCACCTATCTTCAAAGATGAAAGAGCCTATAAAGTATACACAATAATAATGCAAAGTAATAATTATAAATAGTAGCACATAAATATTTAAAATTTATTATTAACAGTAAGATTCCATCTATCAATTATGTGCTAGGTAATGTTTTAACACTGTCTTATTAAAATCCGAGGGAACCAGGCACAGTGGTACACGCCTATAATTCCAGTGGCTTAGGAAGCTGAGGCAGGAGGATAGTTCAAAGCCAGCTACAATAATTTAGCGAGGCCCTAAACAACACAGGGAGACTCCATCTCTAAATAAAATATAAAAAAGTGCTGGAGGCTGGGGATATAGCTCAGTTAGTAGAGGGCTTGCCTCACATGCACAAGGCCCTGGGTTTAATCGCCAGCACCACAAAAAAAAAAGGGGAGGTAGACTGGAGATGTGGCTCATTGGGTAAGCACCTTTGGGTTCAATACCTAGAACAACAACAACAAAAATCCTAGGGGGTAGGGAGATCAATAAATGCAAGGGACTAGGGGATAGCAGAAGTGGAAGGAGGCAGGAAGCGTTGGGGAGTGATATTGACCAAATTACTGTGTTGTTCTGTGTGCCTGTGCATGTATAAATATGTAACAAATCCTATCATTATGTAAAACTATGATGTACCAATAAAAAAATGTTGAAAGAAAAAACTCTTGGGGCTGAGGCTGTGGCTCAGTGGTAGAGCAGTTGCCTGGCATGTGAGGCCCTGGGTTCGATAATCAGCCAACATAAAAATAAATTAATAAAGGTCTACTGAAAAATAATTTAAAATAAATATTTTTTAAAAAGATGTAGATATTGGGCTGGGGCAGGGGCTCAGTGGTAGAGCGCTTGCTTAGTATGTGTGAGGCACTGGGTTCGATTCTCAGCACCACATAAAAATAAACAAAAAATAAATAAATAGTTTAAGGCATTCTGTCCATCTACAACTACAAAAAAATCTAAAAAAAAAAAAAGTAGTAGATATTATTTACCAGTGAAAAACTGAGATTCAGAAAAGTTAACATATCTCTCCCAAGTCACTTAGCTAATAAGAAGTGATGGAATCATAATCTAAAACACCAAGCTCTTTTTTTTTCTCCCCCTTTAGTTCTGGGGATTGAACCCAGAGCTTCACTCATGTCAGGCAACTGCTCTACCAATGAACTACCACCACTGATCTACAACCAAGCTTTTAACTTTTCTTCCTCTACGTAATCACTACTGACAACACAAACTTGCAACAATTTCATTTGCTGTCTCATTCATGTGTGATCTTGGCAGCTGCTAGCCAGTAAGAAGACATTTACCTTAGGATCTAGAGTTGTGTGATGGCCACTAAATCTAGTCCTACTAGCTCCAGCAAATGAAACTTGAAGCTAGAAGTCTCACACTTTCTTACTGGAATCAACTATCATGAAAATAGGCAAATCATGGCAAATTCTTCAAAAGTAAGATAAAGGAAAGTTTATACAACTTTCTGTTTCTTCTTCTCTCTGCATCTAAGCAGTATTATAAAGCAAGGACCCAAATAAAGGCTCACAAGGATATTAGAAGTAAACACCTATTTCTGTGACCACTTAGCAGTTTTTGCCTTCTAAAAAATTAAATAACTTTCATATATTATTAAGAATGAATCTAAGCTGGATGCAGTGGCATGTGCCTGTAAACCCAGGCACTCAGGAGGCTGAGGCCAGAGAATGGCAAGTTTGAGGCCAGCCTCAGCAACTAGCAAAATAAAATAGAAAAAGAACTAGGGATGTAGTCTCAAAATAAAACAGAAAAAGAACTAGGGATGTAGCTCAGTGGTAAAGCACTCCTCGGTTAAATCTGGAGCGCACACACACACACACACAGACACACACACACACACACACACAAAAAGTGATACTAATGTATCTATACTTTTGTGGGGGTACTGGGGATTGAACTCAAGGGTACTTGACCACTAAGCCTCATCCCCAGCCCTATTTTTTTGTATTTTATTTTAAAAAAAAAGGGTCTCACTGAGTTGCTTAGTGCCTTGTTTTTGCTGAGGCTGGCTTTGAACCCATGATCCTCCTACCTTAGCCTCCTGAGCCACTGGGATTATAGGCATGCACCACCATGCCCAGCTGTATCTATACTTTAAGATAGCTTTTAAACCAATTCTAAATGGTTGTTGTCCACATTTACAGAAATATGAGTGGTCCTACAATTCCAAAAATGGTTCATTTCTTTCCATGGTAAAATTTAAACTGAAAGAGGCAGAAAACTGGTTTAGGCAATACTTCTAACACCAAGTTACTTATATAACGTTGTAAAACTTCATATAATTAAAAAACAATTTCCATAGAAATGTGTCAAAGAGACATGAGGTAGCAACATGTTTAAACGAAAATATATACACATTTTAAAAAAGTAAAAAAGAGATATCATTAAGAATTTTATACTTTGAGCAGTTTGTGCAGGTTTTCTTGGGAGGAAGTGGTAGGCAGACAAGTGAAGAATATCCGATAATACATCGTGTGGAACAGAAGAGCTGAGTAGATCCTGTCTTGTGATATGCAGTTTGACCCTTGTAAAGCATCTTTTTACAACCAGAACAAAAAACCTGAATAGCTACAGGTGGAACTGAAGGAACCAATACTTTTGTGCCAGGTGGTACAAGAGAAAAGCCTGAAGTCAACTGCTGGGCTAGCAAAATAAGAAAAAAAAAACACCAGTTTTAGTATTTTTTATATATGCAAAATATTAAATGTATATATAATTCTTTTTTAGGACATATAATCTGTTTTGAAATTCAATGAAACAATGTTCTAAAACAGGGGTTTCAAACTTTTTAAATTATGACCTATAAAAATTAAATTTTACATTATAACCCAGTTCTCACACACATTTGTGTGTGTGTGTGTATAATTTAATAATTGAAACAGAAGTTTCAAGAAATAGCACATTTCCCTGCTATACACATCACATTCTGATATATTCTCATTCTATTTCCTTTTTTTAAATGATGGTGAATAACAGCTCCCAATTTGAAAAACATGCTCTAAAGGAGAAGACTTAGATGAAGAGGTGCTTTCCCTCAATTGTATTAGACAGAGTAAACAAATATTAACAGTATTAACTCACACAGTTCTATTTCTTACCAAGAGAATTGTCACTAACTGAAAATACAGCACTGATTTTCAATTCACTTTCTTGAGTTTTTGGCTGTTGGGCATGTCCATACTCCTTTTAAATACAAAGAAAAAGAGAAAAATGAATAAAATATATGTAAGTAATTCTATCACATTCATATCTTTTATATTTTACTCACAATCACCTTCACAAATATCTCAAAAGTCAAAATTTGAAAGTTATTAGAGTAGATTTAATCTTCATAAAGACAATCTTTAGAATTGGAGAATATTTTATAAAGCTATATCCACTTTCCAAATATAATCTTGATGTATGAGAATAATATACAGTTATTCCAACCCAGACTACTACTCATTTTCTAGGATGTATTTACAAGGGAGCAGTAAATGAAATGAAATCTGGATGATTTAGAGATTAGATCTAAATCAGTAATTTTAGCCAAAAGACTTATAAGCTGTCATATCTGTAACGGCAGAAAAGAGAGAAGAATTTCAATGCAATCAACTCATTATGCACAAAGCATCACAGCCTAAATCAGATTTACCTTAATATACTCTTTAAAATGTAGAATAAAATAATCATTAAACAAATTTTTAAAAATATATACACCTATCTTGAAAAGGACTACCATTTATTTGGAAATCACGACCATCTTTTGTGTTAAAATGGCCTTACATATTTCTGAATAAACAATTTTTTAAAAACTGTCTTTTCTAAAACAATGGATATAATAAATGGCAGTTAGCAAAACCTACCTATACTTATCAAAATAAACAACTATGTCAGTTCCAAAACCAAAAATTTTGAAATTGCTTTATTAAGTGCCAAAAACTAGGAACCACTGCATTAATTCACCACTTTCCGTGAAAGGTACTTGGACACCAAAAGAGGTGCTCCCTATAAGACAGAACTGTCCCCCATCTCTCACTCCTCATAAAACTCAGCTCAAAGTGGATCAAGGACCTAGATATTAGACCAGAGACCCTGCGCCTATTAGAAGAAAAAGTAGGCACAAATCTTCATCATGTCGGCTTAGGAACAAGCCTCAACCAAACACCTAAAGTGCAAAAAGTAAAATCAAGAATCAATAAATGGGATGGTATCAAACTAAAAAGCTTCTTCACAGCAAAGAAAACAAGTAAGAATGTGAAGGGAGAGCCTACAGAATGTGAGAAACTCTTTGCCACCAGCACCTCAGATAAAGCATTAATCTCCAGGATATATAAAGAACTCAAAAAACTTAACACCAACAAAACAACCCAATCAATAAATGGACAAAGGAAACAAACAGACACTTCACAGAAAAAGAAATACAATCAGTCAACAAATATATGAAAAAAATGTTAACATCTCTAGCAATTAGAGAAATTCAAATTAAAACTACACTAGATTTCATCTCACTCCAGTCAGAATGGCAATTATCAAGAATACAAGTAACAGGTTGGAGTTGTCTCTCAAAGGTAGAGCGCTTGCCTACTATGTGTTCAGTCCATGGTAGGCACTGGGTTCAATCCTCAGAACCATATTTAAAAAAAACAATTTAAAAATGAAGATATTGTGTCCACCTATAACTAAAAAAATAAATATTAAAAAAAGAATACAAGAAACAATAAATATTAGTGAGGATGTGGGGAAAAAACACTCTCTCATACATTGCTGGTGCGACTACAAATTGGTGCAATCACTGGAAAACAGTAGGGAAGCTTCCTCAGAAAACCTGAAATGGAATCACCATTTGATCCAGTTATCCCACTCCTCAGTTTATACCCAAAGGACTTAAAATCAGCATACTACAGCGACATACCCATAACAATGTTTATAGCAGCTCAATTCACAATAGCAAAGCTATGGGACCAACCTAGCTGTCCTTCAACTGATGAAAGGATAAAGAAAATGTGGTACATATAAACAATAAAATATTACTAAGCCAAAAAGAACTAAATTTTGGCATTTGCCAGTAAATGGATGGAACTGGAGACTATCATGCTAAGTGAAATAAGTCAATCCCAAAAACCCAAGGCCAATGTTCTCTCTGATATGTTCTACTCACAACAAGGGGAATGGGAGTGGGCAGAAGTTCACTAGATTGGGGGGGGGGGGGGGGGAAAAGGAAAGGAAGGGATGGGGCATGGGAATAGGAAAGACAGTAGAATGAATCAGACATAACTTTCTTATGTCTTATATGTATACCCAACCAGTGTAACTCCACATCATGTACAACCACAAAAAATGGGATATTATACTCCATATATGTATGATATATCAAAATACATTCTATTGTCATATATAACTAAAAAGAACAAATAAAAAAATTTCAAAAAAGATAACTATTATACAATCTTTATAGAAAAGGAAAGTAAAGTTTAGAGATGTTCCGTAACTTGTCCAAGGTAACAAAAATACTAAGTATGAAAATCAAACCCAGGTCTCTCTTCCAAAATTCATGCTCTCTCTCACAGATGTACAAATACAATATAACTGATAGGATGAATTCAAACACTGGTCCCCAACTGAAATTAAGTTTTCTTCAGTTCTCTTTCATCTCATTTCTCTCATAGCACTTATCATAACATTATTTCATATTTTGAGGAATGGTAATGTGATTAATGGCTAACACACTAGACTGAAAGGACTATGTCCATTATGGACAAGGACCGTATCTGTCTTTTCACCTCTGTATATCGGATACCAGGCATAGTAAACAACAGAGAAAACTATGGTTTCTGACAGCAGAGAGAAACATTATCTTGGCTCTTATACAAGTTACTTAAACATTCTTCATTTCAATTTCCTTAACTGTAAAATAAAGATATTACCCATAGACCATTAGCAGAAAACAAATGATTTAACTAACATAAAGTGTGTAGCATAATGATGTATATCCAAAAATACCAGCTCTTATACTTAGTGGCCATAATAAATATTTTATGAATGAATAAATCCAAATCCATTCCATCCAAAGTGAATGGTCTTAAACATTACTTGATATTTATTTATTGGCACTCAGAGGTAGAAGTTAAAAGTACTAATATATACCTTCCTCAGTTTTGCCTTATTAACTACTCAATCTCTAATATTTTTCTTATATTCTTATTATATTTCCCTGGTCAGTTTCTTTTATTTTGCAAAATAACTGTTCTAAACCTTCATTACCCTCAAAACCATACCTCACATATTTCCTGCTCACTAATGTTTCAATTTAATCAATTAAAAACAAGCAACTAAGCAACAAGTTCCTCAACATCCTGATTCCCGCTATCTATAAACTGATCAGCAAATTTTTCTCTTACCTCACAGGAAAAGGCAACCTTCTTAAAACAGTGCTTGTGTTCACGATTTTTCTCTTCCTTCTTCTAGCACTCTATCCTGCCTCCCTTTAACTACCACCTCTCTCCATCTCCATATTGGTTTCTTCCCCTCGAATTATAATACTCCCCTCCCTCTTCCCTCTCTAGTCCACCAAACTTCAATAAATGTACTTCACTCTTTCTCTACTTCCTCACTTTAATTTCTTCCCGAACCAATCAGGCTACTAGTTTATCAGAAATTATTTAAGATAACCAATCATCTCAAATTACCTAGTTCAATAAACACTTTTAGGTTTCTATCTTACTTGGCCTTATTTAAATCTGACACTGTCAATGATTCCACTGTCTTTGGTTATGTTATTTCATTACTACTAAGATATCTGCAATACACTGGATGTCTATGTCCCCTCCTCCCAAATTTATAAGTTGAAATCCTTATAATCTCTCAAGTGACATCTGGAGGTGAGCCCTGTGAGGTAATTAGGTCATGAGGGTAGAGACCTCATAATCAGCATTGGTGCCCTTATAAAAAAGAGGCTAGAGGGGCTGGGATTGTGGCTCAGCGGTAGAGCGCTTGCCTAGCACAGGCAGGACTGGGGTTCGATCCTCAGCACCACATAAAAATAAAGGCATTGTGTTATGTCCATCTACATCTAAAAAAATAAATATTAAAAAAAAAAAGAGGCTAGAGAACTAGCTAGCTTTTTCACCACCTAAGTCTACAAGAAATTGGCTCTTCCCAAAACCCAATCATCTGGCATCCTGATTTCAAACTGCTAGCCTCCAGAACCATAGGGAAATTCATCTGTCATTTATAGACCTTACAGTCTATGGTATTTTGTTATAGCAATATGAAATGACTTAGTGCTACAGTTTGAATGTGATCCATCCCCTCTGAAACTTACGTTGAAATTTGATTTTCACTGAAAAAGTGTTGAGAGGTGGTGACATCATTAAATGGTGATCAGACCACTAAAAGGGATTGATGTCTTTCTTATAGGACTGAATTAGTTATTGAATGTGTTGTTATAAAGCAGGGTTTAAATTTTGTAACTTCCAAGCTCGTATGCTTGCCCTTCCACTTTTCCACTATGAGGTAAGACAATACTATGCACTCACCAGAAGTCAAGCAGATACTAATAACGTGTTCTTAGACTCACAGCCTCCAGATGTGAGCCAAAATAAACTTATTTATAAATCACCCAGTTTCAGGTATTCTGTTATAGCAACAGAAAACATATAAGACAGATGGTATCCTTAATTGTGTGACCTTTTAACAAACTACTGTCTGTTTCTTATGTATGTCTGCTCCTATTTAACCCAAAAGTTGCAATCACCAAGAGGATTCATGTATGTAAACTGCTTGCAACAGTGTTCAAGCTCTAAGTACATATAATAAGTTATTAATAATTATATCATATTATTATGACACAACATATACTACATATGGATACAGTAATACCATCTGGTTTTTTAAAATATTTGTTTAGTTGTCAATGGATCTTTTTATTTTAATTATTTATATGTGGTGCTAAAGATTGAACCCAGGGCCTCACACATGCCAGGCAAATGTTCTACCACTGAGCCACAACTCCAGCCCCATACCATCTGTTATTGTTGTTGTTCACCATCATTATCATTTTAATATTTTTCTGTTCCAGGTTCACTGGTCTTGCAGTTCACCAAAAGAACCATGTATCTTTCCAACTCAGGACTGTTTTGAACACTCTTCTTCATGCCAGTTGCCTAGTCAATTTGTTCTTCACAATTTAGCTTACAAATCCTTCCCTCTGGGAGGCCTTCTGTAATTACTCCTATCCCCTGACCAAAAGTAGGTCAGAGTGCCCATTTTTAGGCTTTTCTTCCAAAGCACTTGTTATAGTTTGTAACCATACATATACAAATATTTTTTTTTAGTTGGCCAATACTTGTATAATCTGTCTTCTTTACTAATTAGTAAATTCTACAAGTAGGAGACTAAGGTAACTACTCCTGGGCCCCAGAGCATACAATAGACAACAAATACCTAACAGAACAAGAAAGTGATATCAGATATAAGAGACTTTTTTTTAAAAAATGCCAAATATGAAAAAAAATGGTAATTCATAACACTTTCTTTTTACAAAACAAAATAGTGTAGGGTTACCAAGATATTTTATCATTCAAAGCACAGAAATCTGATTAACCCATTGTCTTACTCCATTTTGTGTTGCTATAAGTGAACACCACAGACTGGATAATTCATAAGGAAAAGAAATTTATTACAGTTCTGGAGCCTGTGAAATCCAAGATATAAGGGTTATACATAGTCAGGGTCTTATGTGCTGCATCAGGGGAAAAGGCAACAGAGGATCCAAGAAAGAGCAAGAAGCAAAAGAGGGCTGAACTGGCTTTTATAACAAGAAGGCCTCTCTTGCAATAACTAACCCACTCCATGGCATCAATCCATCCTTGAGGACAGAAGTCCTCATGACCTAATTATCTGGTATTAGGCCTCAACCCCCAACAACATTGCATTGGTTAATTATGCATCCAACACATGAACTTTGAGAGTACAAAATCAAACCAAAGCACCCACCTAAGGGGGAAAGAATATTTGTTTTAGTTTATAAGCCTTAAACTGGCTAGGTAAATTTTTCAATTCAAAAGTAGACAAGAAGGGGGGGGGGCACTTTTTCAAAAGGAAAAGTTTACTTGAGCATTGTCAGGTTCTTCTTTAATTTTGTCCAGAAGCCCCTGTTGAGGTATCATTGCTTTGACACATCCACCATCCAAAGGTTCTTTCATTCTACTTTTTTATGTAGAGGCGTTCTAGTTTTATAACCAATAGATTTCTTCTTGGCAATGGATAGTTGGACTCCTAAAACAAAAATACACAATCAGTACACAGCTATTTAGTGTTTTTTTGTTTTGTTTGGTTGGTTGTTGTTTTTATGGGGAGGGGGAATCCTCCCCTTTATCAATGTTAAAAGTGTCAGGATTGAACATTTGAAAAACAACCCTCTGGAACCATGACTAACTGTTCTTTTTTCTTCCTGCTTTCTCTCCTTTAGTAACTACCTTAACATAAGAAAAGTCTTCTATCAACAGCTTGAACTTCCCTGTTAAAGACAAGCACTAATTTCTCCAAAATGTTTAAGGTTGCAAAGGAAATTAGAATAGCAGACCCAGCTGTGAGAGGAAGTTACCAATCTTTCAGAAGAATGGATTCAAGAAATACAGTTCCTAATTCCAGGAGTACTGACCTAGAGGTCTTATTTCTTAAAGAGGGACACAGCAACCTCCCCATATCTCTAACTCACCCTTCACTTGAACCCTTCAAGGGTGCCAATTCTTAGTCTAACGCTGGTTCAGAGGTCCAGACCCCATCACAACAATATGCCCTTAGTTAAAGTGGGTCACCTGTACCTTTCAGCGTCTCCATAGGGGTCAGGCCCCTCTGAATGCAGGTAACGCCATCCTGTAAACAAGAAACTTGGCCATTCAAGTCAGCTTCCCTTCCTCTAAAAAAAAATGCATATTAAAGTTGAACCAAATGGGAACCTCTCCAAACAAGACAAACAAGGAAACTGACAACTGCTCTTAAAGTCCGTGCCAAAGAAGACTTAAGAACTTTTGACCACTTGCCACAGTTTTAACCACCTAAAGGCGCTCATCCCTCCTCCGAGTTATTGCATGAGTTCCCAAGTTCCCATTCCCACCAAGAAGTCTCGTGACCGTCAGTAAGAACCGACGCCGCAACCCAGTCTTGGAGGAAGAGCATTGGACCCGTTGGCCCGTCAGCACGTCCCCAGGAGACCTCTGCTGTAGGAGCATGCCACCGCTGCCGCGCAGCCCACCCAGCGCCTCCTAGTCACGTGGGGCGGCTGCGCTCCGCCCCCCCGCCCGCCTGTCCTCCCGGCGGCGCCCCACCTTCAGTTGCCTCCCGGTTCCCGGAGGAGTCTCGAGCGGAGAAAGCAGAACAGGAACTAAGGCCTCGCGCTGGCAGGAACAGTATTTTCTCCTATCGGAATTCTGCGGGATCCAGCTTAACGCAATATTCGGCCAAGGGCGCGTGTGCAACCCTGGTCTCCGCCCTTCTTTCCCGTCATGCCATAAACTGAGCTGAGTGGACCTTGCCAGCACTGGTCTCCACCCTTCTCTCCCATCATGCCCCGGACCTGAGCTCAGGGAGCCTTCAGAGCCCTGTCTCCGCCCTTATTTCCCGTCATGCCTCAGACCTGAATTCAGTGGACCTTGCCAGCACTAGTCTCCGCCCCCTTTTCCCGTCAGGCCCCAGGACCTAGCAGAGAGGACCTTCACTCCCAGCATCCCATTTACCCCAGTTATGGTTGACTTCTTAAAGAAACAGATCCTTGTTAAAGAGTGGAAAAGGAGTTTGGGGTAGGCTGTCAGGGACGTTAGATGGCGCTACAAGTGTTCTGCTCTGTTCTTTAATGGCTGTTTGCAGAAAGGTGGCCTGTCAAGACAACATAATAAATAATACAAATAATACCTGACATTTCATGTATTATTCCAATTAATCCTTTTTTCTTTTTTTCTTTTTTTTTTTTTTTTGGTGGACTAGGGAAACTCAGGGGCACTCAACCACTGAGCCACATCCCCAGCCCTATTTTGTATTTTATTTAGAGACAGGGTCTCACTGAGTTTCTTAGCGCCTCGCTTTTGCTGAGGCTGGCTTTGAACTCATGATCCTCCTGCTTCAACCCGCATTCCCACCCCAGCTGATGGGGGTGCCATCCTACTCGGCTCCATTAATCTTGAACGCACCTCTAAGAAATACATTATATCTCTGAGATTATTAACTTGCCAAAGTCAAGTTTGAGTATTTTTTCATTCAACATTGTTTTGAAGATGCATCCATGATTTGTGTGGTTGTTTATTCCTTTTGCTTGCTCCGTAGTACTATGTTTAATGAGTATACTACAATTTGATCATCTATGATTGATGGTCCTAAATCGTTTCCAATTTGGGACTGTAAGGAGCATTTGCCATAGACATGCTGGGACTCACTAAGTTGCTGGCCATAAGGAATAGCAGCCACAGGCATGCTTAATCATGTCTGGTTGCAATTGACAGGAAGCATAGCTCCATGGACATGCGCAAAGAACATGCCCAGTCACAATTACATCATCTCACTGGACATAAATCAATGGACATTGACTCTCACTGGGTGTAACTAATCACCAACATGCACCACCAACTTGGAACTATATATAAACCGCCTGTCCTGCAACATTGAAGAGCTTCACTCTGAGGACGTCAGTGAGACTTGGCAGCCTTGCTGTCCGTCCCCAGATGGACTCCACCATTCCCTGATATCCAACCATTGGCTGGAGAGAACCAGCATACAATGACAAGGTCTGCTCTTTGGCTAAGAGAAGTCTGGTGGCATCAGAGGGACTTTGGGGCTTGTGGTTGCCCTAGGATTGTGTGACTTGCTTGTAGTGCTTAATTAGTGTGTATTGAATGCAAATTGAGGTGCTCCAGCACACCCCACACTTTTTGCATTAATTGTTTGATGATTGGTGTAATCTAATATACACTTGTATTCAAAGACAATCTGCCTCTGAGTAATTATTAATAGTGCCGCTTGCAACAGGGGCTATTAGGAATAAGACTACTGTGAATGTTCTTATTTTTGTAACATATGCACACATGTAATTGCTTGCATATATACATAAAACTTAAGTAGATAATGTCAAACAATTTTAGAAGGTGGTAATTTCAGTTTATACTTCCACCAGCAATGTGTGAGCATTTTAGTTGCCCGACATCTTAACCAATAATTGCTAGTAAAAATTTTTATAATTTTAGCCAACTCTTGGGGTACAGCCATATCTGGCTGTGGCTCTATTTATTTAATTTTTATTAATTTATTTAATACCAGGGATTGAAACCAGGGCACTTGATCATTGAGCCACATAACCAGCCCTTTTTTCTATTTTATTTAGAGACAGGGTCACCAGTAGTTGCTGAAGCTGGTTTTGCCTCCTGCCTCAGCCTCCAGAGCTGCTGGGATTACAGGCATGTGCCATCGCTCCTGGCTCACTGAAGTTTTAATTAACATTTCCCGCCAAGTGAGGAGGCACATGCCTATAATTACAGGGCTTGGGAGGCTACATGAGTCAAAAGTCAGCCTCGGCAAAAGCAAGGCACTAAGCAATTCATTGAGACCCTGTCTCTAAATAAAATACAATATAGAGCTGGAGATGTGGCTCAGGGACCATGTGCCCCTGAGTTCAATCTCAGGCATCCCCTCAAAAAAAAATTAATTAGTGCCGCAGTCTGGCTGGGCACAATTCATGAGCCACTTGTAAAGCAGAAACGAACTTTATTTTTAGAACACACACGCGGCACCACACTAGCTCTTCAGGAATTCCCTCAGAGCCCAACTGCCACCACAATGAGCATCACCACAGAGTAGCCAATCAGCTGGAAGTTTGCTGGGGCCACTTCAGCTGTGGCTCTCAACATCTCCCCCTCTCTGTTTAATTAAACAACAAGCATGTGGCTTAGGGACCGTGCCTGCCTTTGTCCAATACTACATATGGTCCTTACCCGTCATCAGATGAGCTGACCTCAAGGCGTCAGCCTCCTGTCTTAACTTCTCCCCTAATGGCTTTTCCTCCTTTAAATTTTCTTCCTCTGACTAGCTCGAGAGACCTTCTCTTTTACTTGATCTAACATGTCTTCTACCATAGTCTGAACTGAAGGCTTTGGACTAGGCAAACAAAATCGTATCATCATCCATAATGGAAATGTGCCAACTGGCAGAGTTCCTGGGTTTTTCTTTTCCCTCTCCCTTAAATCTTCACCATGATGGTCCCAATGTGATATATTCAACAACTCCTCCTTAAAAAGCCATGGGCTACATTTTTGTATTGTATCGACCTACGCCCTAATTGTTCTTGGTTTTACTGGGATGCCTCCTTTAACAATTTACTTAACACTCTTTTGGTTTGTTTTTTACTAATTTCTGATCCCATATTTCTATTATAAAGATAACACAACCCAACAAGATAACACCAAACAAAACCGAAACAGAATGAAACAAAAATGGAACAAAAATTCATTATATCAGCCTTTCTATCCTCCTGAAATGTCCATCCGTCCTTTCTCCCTATCTGTTCCTCCGACACAAATAGTTTTTCCTCAGATGTGAGCAGTTTTTCTTCCGTCTCACCCATCTCCAGGGACAGGCAACTTAAAAGCAAAACAAAATGAAAGAAGAATCTTAAAATGGCTACCCGTCCTCTCACCCTGCCCTCAGGGGCGAGCAGTTTACCTTATCACTTACCCTCAGTCGTTCCCCATGTAGGCCACCAAATGCCACAGTCTTGCTGGGAACAATTCACAAGCCACTTGTCAAGCAGAAAGGAACTTTATTTTTAGAAACACACTGCACCACAGGAGCTCTTCAGGAATTCCCTCAGAGCCCAACTGCCACCACCGGCTTCCAGTGAGCCTCTCAAACCCCACTCCTCCCGCTCTTGAGGCCGATTGGCTGGGTCGTGTGGGTGGAGCCAAAAGAGTCCCCTAATGAGCAGCTCCATGGCCTGAAAGGGTGGGGAAACAGCCCAATGAGCATCACCGCAGAAGAGCCAATCAGCTGGAAGTTTGCTGGGGCCGGGGTGAGCCAATCAGCTGGAAGTTTGCTGGGGCCGCTTTGGCTGTGGCTCTCAACAAATTAGCATTTCCCAGATTATTGAGGTTTAACCCATTTTCATGTTTTTGGATATCTAGATATCCTCTCTCAAAGTGCCTGTTCAAAACTCTTACTTGGCTGTTGGTGTTTTTGTTTTGTTGGATTGTCTGTCATTTTCTTGTGGGCATATTTTCTGGATATGAATTCTCCTCTCTTAGATATTGAAACTAAAATCCCAAAGTGATGCTCTTAAGAGGTAAAGGCTTTGTGGGGTGGTGATTAGACTGTAGAATGGAATTAATACCTTTATAAATGAGGCTTAACACAAGGTTTGCCTGACCCTCCTTCTCTTTTACCCTTCACCTATGTGGAGACAATGTTACTCCCTTCCAGAGGATCCAGCAACAAGGTTCCATGTAAAATCAGAGAGTGAGCACATATTGGACACCAGATTGATTGGCACAGTGATCTTGGGCTACCCAGTCTCCAGAACCATGAGAAATAACTTTCTAGGGCTAGGGATGTGGCTCAAGTGGTAGCGTGCTCGACTGGCATGCGCAGGGCGCTAGGTTCGATCCTCGGCACCACATAAAAATAAAATAAAGATGTTGTGTCCACCAAAAAGTAAAAAATAAATATTAAAAGAAATAAGTTTCTATTATTTACAAATCACCCAGTTTTTGTTGTAACAATAGAAATGGACTATGTCAAGTCCTTTTCGAATACAAGTATTCCAAATATCTTCCCCCATTTAGTTGTCTGCCTTTTCACTTTATTTTGGTGCCATTTGATGAATGTAGAAGACTTTTACACTAAGTGCCTTTTGCATACTGTTAAGAAATATTTTCCTACCATAGGTTGGAAATCTCTGAAAGTTTTATTACTTTGTCATTCCCTTTTAGAGCTATTATCCTTCTGAAGTTGGGTTTTGCATATAGTATGTGGTAAATCAGGTGTTATTTTTTTCTATGTGAATATTAAATTTCAAAACCCTATTTTTGAAGAGGCTGTCCTTTATTTCTCTGCACTGTCACCTTTGTCGTATATCTTGTCTATATATGCATAGGTTGGTTTCAGAACCATGCAGTTTGTTCCTTTGTCTCTCCTTATGGAAATACCACACTATCTTAATTTATGTTACAGCTCTATAATAAATCTTGATATCTGATAGAAAAAAATCCTCCTTCCATTATGTTCCTCAATTGTGTTTGTGGGGCTGGGGTTGTAGCTCAGTGGTGGACAGCTGGCCTAGCACATGTGAGGCACTGGGTTCTATCCTCAGCACCACATAAAAGTAATTAAATAAAACAAAGGTATTCTGTCCATTTGCAACTAAAAAATGTAATTTTTAAATTTTTAGTTGTAGATGGACACAATACCTTTATTGAATTTATTTTTATGTGGTGCTGAGGATCAAATCCAGTGCCTCACACATGCTAGGCAAGCACTCTACCACTGAGTCAAAACCCTGGCCCTAAAAAAAAATGT